TGGTCAACCTGAGGGCGTTGGGGAATCCCCGAGATCCCCCCGAAATAGAGGGGAGATCGAAGTCCCCCCCCCCCCGGCATGGGCCCCCCCCCCCCTACAAAGCCCCCCCCCCCCCCCCCTTATTCCCGAGAGGCGCTCCCGACGCCGCGCGCCCGACACGCCTCAAAGCCCCTCTCCACACCACCACACCACACACACACGCGCACCCGCCCACCACACACAGACACCACCCCCGCCCACCACCCCCGCCCACACGCTGCTGCGCGCCTCCTCCTTACACCCACCACCCACCACCCCCGCCCACCACCCCCGCCCACACGCTGCTGCGCGCCTCCTCCTTACACCCACCACCCACCACCCCCGCCCACCATCAGGCGCTGCTATGCGCCGCCTTCCTGCCGAACCTCGCGCTCGGTCGCACCACCTGCCCGCCGGCGGTCCTCGCCGACATCGCGCGGCATCGGCTCGACCCGAGCCGCACCGTCGCCTTCATCGTCGGCTCCGGCTCGCAGGGCGGCGCCCACCTAACGCAGGCGAACCTCGCCGCCGCGCTCAAGCCGTGCGGCAAGCTCGAGCAGTCTATCATCTCAAAGTCGCGCGTGCACGTCAACGGCGCCCTCTCGCTCCAGACGTCCGCCGTCCTCTCCTTCGCGTCGCAGGAGGGCGCGCTACTCGCCCTGCGGATGGCGGGCATGCGCGGCTCGCTGCCGGTGCCGCTCACCGGCGCCGACGGAACCACGAGGCAGCCCGTCGGAACTGCGTGGCTGCAGGCGCCGCAGTACGCCTGCCGCCTGCGCTTCCAGCGCCTCACCTGCCTCGAGGACGCGGCCGCGGTAGCGCCTCCCGAGCCGGCGGCCGGCGGCGTGGAGGGGGCGGCTCCCGCCGGGCTTGCTGCAGCGCACGACGACGCGGGCGAGAGCGCCGAGGTCTTGCCCGTCGACCAGGCGCGGGATGTAGCCGAGGGGTGGCCGAGGGGTAGCCGAGGGGTAGCCGAGGGGAAGCCGAGTTGTAGCCGAGTTGTAGCCGAGTTGAGCCGAGGTTTAGCCGAGGGGTAGCCGAGGGGTAGCCGAGGGCCGAGGGGTAGCCGAGGTCTTGCCCGTCGACCAGGCGCGAGGAGGGTTGAGGGAGCGAGCGGCGACCCCGCCCGCACACCCCTGATCTGCTGCAGCTGCCCGCTGGCCCAGGTGTGGCACTCGGGCAGCGCGGTGCTGAGCGCTGCGGAGCCGTCTCCAGAGGAGCGGCTGCTGCTCGCGACGGCATGGTCGCGCGCGGGCTACCGAAAGAAGCTGCTCGCCCACGGCGCGACGCTGCTGCCCGCCAAGCCCGCCGGCGCCGCGCAGTTGCTCGCCCTCACCTTCTCTCGCCACGTCCGTCTGCTCGCGCCGCCGGCCGACGCGGCTCCGGCCGCCGGCGGAGCCATCGCGGCGCAGGTGGCGGACGGCGAGCGAGCGGTCGCTTTTGCGCTGCCGTGGCTGCTGCGGCGCGCGGATTTGGACGCGATCAACGAACTCCGCGCCGCGCTCTCGGGCTCCGTGGGGGAGCGGCCTGCGGCGGACGGCGAGCCGGCAGCCGCGATCCAGCTGCGGCTGATGAAGCTGCTGGTGGAGAAGCGGCCCCAGCTGAGCGAGGGTCTCGCGGCGATGGCGGCCGCGATCGCCGCCGACGCGCCGAACCTCAACTGCGGTGAGTGGCCGTCGACTCTCCTGCCGCCGATCGGCGAGCCGGCCGGCGCGTCAGGGGTGCTGGCGGAGCTCGCGGCGGGCGGCGGAGCCGAGCCCATGGAAGAGGAGGAGGCTGCGTGGGGCGGCGCACACGGGGGAGGCGCCGCGCACGACGAGGCGGGTGGGGTGGACGGCGCGGCCAGCGACGAGGAGGATTTGGAGTTGCTGGAGATCTGAGAGTACACGCCTCGGGTTGTCACTTGTCACGTCACATGCCATGGGGTGTTTTTAAGAGAGGTACGAGCACAGGGCGGGGAGCAGCGGTTTCTTCCCTGTCTCGCACTGCTTTGTGCTCCTTACGTGAGCTCTCTGGGGGAAGGCGCTAGGCGCAAGGCGGGGGGCCCTATAGAGGGTACCCATGGCCCACATGCCCAATGGCGGCGGGCACTCGCTTGCTTTTTTTCGCTCCAGTCCTGCGGATCTTCATAGTAGACCGGAGGGCTACGAAGCCTTCACACTCCAAGGGGCTGATCGGCGGGGGGGAGATGGCTGATGGGAGGGCGGTGTCCTATATGGCCCGCCGCAGGCGCCGATTTTTTCGATTTTTTCTCCTTGCGCGATTTTTCACTTGTTTTCAGTGTATGTGGCTCTTACGAACATACCCGAGGGTGGACTACTGACAGGGTTTTCATGGGAATTCGGCGTACACGCGTACTTGCTCCAACCAGGCCCTTCCTTTTTTGAGCAGGTGTGCCGCTGCGCGACGCTCGCCGTGTGTGTGCGTGTGTGTGCGCGCTCCGAGTTCGCCCGACATAGCGCGGCGCGGCTCCGAGATCGCCCGAGATAGCGCGAGATCGCCCGAGATTGCGTGGCGCGGCCGAGATTGCGCACCTCGGCATATTCTCGGGCTCGGCGAGGTGGATGGATGGGTTGGGAGCGAGGGGGCGCAAGTGTTCAGGGCGGTAGATCGGTCAGTTGGGCCATGAGACGGACTTGTGGGCCGGACCACCCCAGTCCTTTCTCTGCGTTCTTTCACATGGAGTGCAAGATACTCGTTCTGTTGCCGTCCCAAACTGTCACTCCCCTTTCTCCCGGCCGGGGCGGGCGCGCGGGCGGGGGGCGGCGGGTGTGCGGGATGTCTGTGGGCCCGAGAGCGATATGCGCCATGCGTGTGTCCGCCTTGCGTTTGTTTCATACCATCGAAGGCTAGCACGGCACCCGCGGCGCTGTGCTCGCGACGGGCCCGCGCTGCGCGTCGGTCGCGACCTACGCGCCGGCGCTCGGCGCACCCAAGTCCAAGCTGGAGTTGATCGTTGCTTCCCTTTCGCGAGGCGGTGCGGACTGCCGGAGGCCTCGGTCTCCCCTCTGCCCGTGCGACTTTCGCTAACTCCCTCGACGCTCGAGCGTAGATCGTGTCTCTCTTCGGCGCGCTTGAGCACGTTTGGCACCAAGAGGCTTTGATAGTTTGATTCTTACGACCCTCACCCGCCAAGGGCAAGGCAGGCAGGTGTGCACTCTCTGCTAGTACTCGAGTACTTGTGTGCTCAAACCACTACACTGTGGGGGGTGCCCGAGCATGATGTATGTGCGCGCGTCTGTGCCTGTGTCGGACAGACGCTGTTGTCCTATGCGCGGGGCTTCCCGCGGGGACCGAAGACGTACCGCCGAACACACACACACACACACCGCCAATCGAAGGCTAGCTTTTCTGATGGTTGGAGGGTCTATCTGTATGTACTCCTCGAGATGTTTCCAAATCTGCCCTCTGATTAACCTAGCTTAATCGGGAAGTCGGTGCTAGTGGAGACTAGTGGAGCCGGGGCCCCGTTTCCGCACTGCGGCGCGGCGCACGGTGCCTCCGGGGGCCCCCGCCCCCCCCCAGAGCGTGAGCTGTGATACAGACGCCCTTGTCTTCCAGCTCTCAGGGATTTTCAGTGGTCGGAGGCGGCGAGATCCTCGCCCCCGCCCGCCCCGCAGGGCGCGCAGTGTAGTACTGCCAGTACTTACGACTTACGTAGCCTACTGCCCGGAGCAGTAGAGCTGTCAAACGTTAACTTTGGTCTAACTAAGAGTTGCACTACTGTTGGCTGAAATCCTCAACGTTGTTCAAGTGTTCTCCCCAGCCCGAGCTGTTACTGTTTGTTACTGTTGTTACTGTTGTTCAGCGGTCAGCAAGCAGAAAATGCCAAAAATCCCGGGTAAAACACCCGAATACCCCACTCACCGCACCCTCGCTCCGCCCCCCGCCGCGCCGCCACCCTCGCCACCGTTTCCACCGCCGCTGCTCTCACCACCCTCGCCACCCCGCCGCCCTCACCGCGGCCCTCACCGCTCACACCCTCCCCCAGCAACCCACGTCCTTCGCCGCCCCCGCCACCACTCGGCACTCTAGTCGGCACTCCGTCTCCGCCCTTTCCCCCTCCACCCTCGCCACCCCCATCGCCGCACCTCCACCCTCTGATCCTTAGCGCCGCCACCCTCGCCGCCGCCACCCCCACCATCCCGGCCGCCCTCGCCGCCCCCACCCTCACCGCCGCCCCCGCCCCCGCCGCTGTCGCAGCCAGGCCCTCCCCACCGCGGCCCTCCCTCCCTCGCCGCCGCCCTCCCCACCGCCACCCTCGCCTCCAGGCGCCCCACTGGTTTCTGCCGTCGCCGCCGCCCTCGTTACCACCGTCTGCGCCCCCTTCCCCTCCCTCGCCGCCGGGGCCGCCCGCCTTCGGCTTCGCTCGCCTCCATTCACCAACCACCCTCTGCCTTGTCTCCGCCCTCGCTCTTTCCCGCCCTCGCCGCGCCACCCTGCCGCCGCCCTCACCCCCGCCCTCGCCCCCGCCCGCCGCACTCTACCAGAAATCCGGTTTGTTGTGAACCCGCGGGTAGTCTCCCCCCATCCCCAGGCCTCCAGGGCTCGCAACTCAACCTCTCACAGACCAGCGCAAAGACGTATTCTCTTCTCACAACAATGCTGTGAACACGGCCATCCGCCGCCGACTTGCCCCACTCACGTGATATATGCTCCCGCAAGCGCCTTTCCTGGTGATTGGCCTGCTGTCCGCTCCTCACCGACCGGCCGCTCCTACGCTGCGCCTTTGCAGTGTGTCGCTCGCAAACAGCGGAAGGCAAGAGCGTGGCGCTGCCGCACGCAAGCGGCTGAGCGGTTCTTTTGTTGACGCGCCGGACGAGTACGAGGAGCCATTGAAGTCAGCTGCGCGCGCAGAGTGGGAGGCGGCGGCAGACGCTGCGATGAAGGAGCTGGACGCGGACTTTGATGCCGAGGCGCCCTCGTGTTTGACTCACACACACGCACACGCACGCACGCAAGCATGCATAATACATGCACGTGTAGGAGCGCTACTGGAGCGACAAACCGGGGCGGTGGAACGCCAAGCAGCAGCTCTGGGCGGATGGGTCGACGCGGCCGGCCATGATGGCCAAGCGCCGGCGGGTGGTGCGGGCGCGGGCAAAGCGCACGCCCAAAGTGCCGCCGCCGCTGTCGGCAGCGGGTGAGGCGCGGCGAGCGGCGCGGAGGCGGCCGACCGCGCCTCCATAAACGGCCCCATCACCGCCTCCTCCGGACCCACCCTCGCGCCCGTGCCTGCAGGCTGCTCGCGCGCGACGAGCGCGAGTGGTTTGAGCGGCGCGTGGAGCGCGACATGGAGCGGCGCCGAGCTGCGGGGCTCGAGGGAAGCCGCGGGGGCGGCGGATTTGGAGCCGCCTCACGCCTATTGACCTCGCGAGACGGCTGCTCGAGTAGGCGGAGCCGAGGAGCAGCGGCGGCGGCGTAGCGAGCGGGCGAAGCGGGCGTGGGCGACGCGGCGGGCGAGGGCGCAGCGGGAGGTGCAGTCTGCGCCGCCGGAGCAGGCAGATGCAGGCTAGCGGACCCTACGTACGGTTGTACTCATCGGTATGGTGTGTGTGGTGTGTCGAGACCGTTGGCGTTCTAGCCGTTTTCCCCGATTGCGCGATTCGGCCGAGATATATTCGCGTATGCCGTATATCGCCTATCGGTCGGATCTCGGAATCGGTGTCGGGGCCCGACTCGCTCGGGGGTGTGCCGACACTGCACATCAGACATCTCCTCGCACGTTTCTGGGCGCACTAGGCACTATGCTGTCACTAATTTGACTCTTGTCTCAGCTCTCTACGGACTAAGCAATCGCCCCCGCTCCCGCCGCTCGCAGCGCTCTCTCTCTATATACACTTCTAAGAGGGGGGCACACGCTTCTCTGTGGCTCTCTATTCACAAAACGAGCTCAGAGGGTTGCTCACTAGTGGCGTGACTGCTCGTGTCGTTGAGACGAGAGCCGAAACTCACGCCGATCCCCGCGGACAAAAGTAGTCTCGCAAGCTCGACTGGCTCGAGCTGGCCGGGGCCCTCGGCGCAGAGCGCTGCGCCATCGGCGTGCGTGGCGGCGCGGACGCGGCGCTCGGGCCCGCCTCCGCCGCTGGCCCGCTCTCGACCGACGGCGCGGTGCCGGCGCCGGCGCTGCTTCCGGCGGCGGCGGCGCCCAACGCGGAGGGCGGCGCGTGTTGCGTGGGCATCGCGCTCGCCGCGGGAGGAGGGTCGCCCTCCCCGCCGCCGGCCGCCTCTGTGTCGCCTCGCCCCGGCGCGCGCAAGTTCGCGCCCAGCGACGGCGCGTTGCGCGCTGCGCCGCGCGCCACGCGCCAGACGCGGACGGTGCCGTCGTCGGAGCAGGAGGCGAGCTGGGTCGGGTCGGAGGCGCACCTAGAGAGGAGTGTGCCGCGAGGCGGCTCAGACACGGCTCCGAGCGCGAGCCGACCTGCGAGGGGCGCGCTGCGCTCCAGTCGACGCCCGTCGCCTCGGCAGAGTGGCCGCGCAGCAGGAGCGGGGGCGCGGCGGGCGCGTCGAGCTGCCACACGTACACCGCACCTAGGCGGCAGGCTGCGAGACGCGTCGGGGGCCGGCGGGATGGCATCCCCTGCGCCGCCCACGCCTCCTCCCCTCCCTCCCTCCTCTCCCTCTCCCTCCCCTCTCATCGGCGCTCCCTTCCCCTCCCCTCCCCTCTCCGCGGCGCACCGTCCGAAGAGCCGGAGATGGCCTGCCGGCCATCCGCCGACAGGGAGGACTTGACGTAGAACGTGCCCGCCCGGTGCCCCCTGTACCTCCCCACCTCGCCAACCTCCGGCCGGACCGTCTCGTACAGGTACAGCGTGTGGTCCGTGCTCGAGGCGAGGAGGCGGCCGCCTGCTCACACCGCGAGGCGCGTCAACGACCTCCGCCGCACGACCGCGCGGGCGCGCCCTGCGAGGCGGCCGCCCGAGGCGTCCGTCGAGAGGGAGATGATCCCGTGCGGCCTCTCCCTCCCGCTGTCCGGCGCCAGCACGGAGAGTGGCTGCGCCGCCCTCCGCCCGCGCTCGCCGCGGCCCGCCCCGCCGAGCCTGGCGTCCCAGAGCTTGATCGCGCCGTCGGTGCCGCCCGCCGTCGCGAGCACGTTCCGCTCGTCAAGCAGGTAGAGCACCGCCGTCACCTGCTCGCCACCCGCAGGCGTCACGGGAGGGACCTTCCCCCGGCCTCGCCTGCGACGCCGTGGCCGGGCGAGCGCACCCCGTGGTGGCCGACGTTGGGCAGCCCTCCGCGCTTGCGCTTGGCGGCGGACGGGGGCGAGGGCTCGTGCACGCCCCGCAGCGCCATCACCGGCTCGCCGCCCTGCCGCACGTCGTACACGAGGATGCAGCCGTCGCGCGAGCCCGAGGCGAAAACGTGCGGGTCGGCGGGCCGCGCCGCGACCGACTTGACGGAGCCGCGGTGGCCCCTGCAGAGGAGGAGGCGACCCTGCGGGGGTCGAGGGCGGCCGCGGTGAGAGCGGCCGCGACGAGGGCGGTGGGGTCGGCGGCGGCGGCGGGCGGCGAGCACCTCGTTGGCGTCTCTGCTGCTGCCGCAGCGGGAGATGTCCCAAAGGGCGCAGGTCTGGTCGCCCGAGGCGGTGAGGAGGCGGCCCTCCGCCGGCGACCACGCAAAGTCAAAGACCGCGTTCCGGTGCGCCCGCCAGCGCCAGCGCCGCTGGTCGGGCGCCTCTGCTGGCTGCGCCGCGTCGACGAGGGTCATGCAGCCATCCTCGTCGGCGACGCCGAGCGTGGTCGGGCAGGCGGGCCAGGGGCAGTAGCGTGGGCAGAACGGCAGCCCCGCCTGCGTCGGCCCGCCGCCGAACGTGTACACGTCTGCGTCCTCGTCGCACGAGAGCTCTGGCAGCAGCGCCGCCACCGAGATGCGGCGCGGAGCAAGCTCGCGGTTGATGACCGAGGCGAAGAAGGTGCGAGGTGGCGGTGCGTCCCGAGCAGCAGCGCGGGATGGGGTCCGTCGAGCCTTGCCCTGTGGCGTGTGCGAGTGCTGCATGCGCCCGCGAGAGCGCTTTTCCAACCGTCAGATTTTCGCGCGAAAACAGAGGAAGAGCTAGGTACCCTGGTACGCTGGTAGGGATCTAGCGGGGTCTCTCCCGCGCTGGGTGTCCAGTCCGAGCCTGCTGTTCTTCACCTTCACCCTCTATTCTTTCTATGCTCCCTCCCTCCCTGTGTCCCCTCTTTCTTATGAAAGAAAAAAATGCGGGCGCGCGCACAACCGTCAGTTGTCCCTAAATCCCATCTCGTCTCAGAGTTTGACCGTTTTCTTTCTTTATTTATTTACCGTCAGTTGGCGTCACCTCTGAGCGGAGCCAGAGGGGTGGCCGGGCTCGTCGTAGTCTTCGCCCCGCTTGTCGACCATCTCGACGCTCACCTGCCCCCTGGGGCCCAGCTCGCGAGGGGCGGCGCCCCGTGCCATGTCCTGGAGGAAGCTCGCGTTCGCCGGGTCGTCGAGCGCGCGGAGCGGCCCGCTGTTGACGGTGAAGCCGTTGCGGTACAGGGCCACCTTCGCCTCGACGTGTTCCCCCTCGGCGACGTCCGCGCCGGGAAGCCGGGTCGCGTCGAGGAGGTAGAAGGCGTGCGCCCTCGCCTCCTCCTCGGAGCCCTGGTGGGCGCACCCCTCGAGCAGGGCCGGCGGCAGCCTGGCGGGCGGCGCAAACGCCCAACCGGCGCCCTCCAGCGCCTCGAGAAAGGCCTGCTGCCCGTGCCGGCCGTGCGGGTAGCACATCCGCAGCCGGCCGCCCGGGCGGAGGAGGGCGGCCGCCGTGCCGAGCAGGCCCTCCACGCAGCCGGACGAGTAGACGAGGTCGGAGGCGAGCAGGAGGTCGAAGGCGCCGCCGTGCCTCTCGCGCAGCTCCCGCGGCGCCGTGCTCCAGTTGAGCTGCGCCACCTCCACCGTGCCGGCCGCGCCCACGGCCGCCGCGTTTGCGCGCAGGTTGGGCAGCAGCGCGTCCTCGGCGTCGGTCAGGAGGACGCGCGCCGCGAACCGGGCGGCGGCGAGGCCCGGCAGCCCGACGCCGCTCCCCAGCTCCACCACCGCGAGCCCGGCCAGCCCGCCCGCGGCGCCCTCGCGCTGCAGCTGCCGCGCGAGCGCGACGCTCGCGTCCCAGATGCGGCAGCCGGACGAGAAAAAGTACTCGCGGAACTGGCGGACGACCAGCGGCGCGGGCGGTGCGGCCGACGCCGCGCCGCCCTCCTCCTCCTCCTGCGTCGAGAGCCGGACGGTGACCGTCTCGTACACGCCTCCCTCGCCCAGCTCCGCCTCGAGCTGCTGCACCGAGGCGCGGCGCGACTCCCACGAGCCGGAGCAGACCACGGACTCGCGAGGCTGCACGCACGGCCGCTTGGGCGCGCCGCCCGGCTCGGCCGGGAAGCGCTCGCGCAGCAGCGCCGTGGCGCAGGCGTGGAGCCGGTCGACAAATTGAGCGAGGTCGTCGCGGCTCGGGCCGACCCGGCCGGCCGCGCTGGTGAAGAGCGCGTCGACGCGCCGCTTGAGGGCTGGGAGAGGGTCGTCCTGCAGCGTCGAGGGCGGCATATGTGAAGAAATCCAGCCTGCCCGGAGGTTTCTTTTTTCGTCCCTTCACACTGCTGTGAATACGTCCCGAACCCACACTGTGACCTCGTAGCATATGCGTGTGTATCTGTTCGCAGCAGCTGCAGTGTGTGAAGAGCACAAGGGACAGTACTACGACGCGCTCCATGTCTTTAACGGAAGCGTCAAAATTTGTCTCGTCGAAAGCCAGGGCGGCATCGCGCCGCCGACCAAGAGAATCATCTTCAACTTCGCCAAAGAGGTCGGCAGCCCGAGCGCCGTCGACCGCACCGACTACGGCACAGCCTCCGTCCGGCAGCGCCCGGGGCTTCGTCCAGCACCACTCGCAACAGCTCTCGCGCGCCGCCGTCTGTGGCGACGCGCAGAACATCAACAACGCTGCTCGCAACATGCGTGTCGCGCACTCATTCATTCATGACCGGTCTCAATGTCCCACCCCCCTTGCGCGCGGGCCTTCTAGGCCCGCGGGTAGTCTCCCCCCATCCCCAGGGCCTCCAGGGCTCGCACCTCAACCTCTCACAGACCAGCGCACAGCGCCATACGAGGTATTTTCTTCTCAATAACAAGGATGTGAATAACAAGGCTGTGACGCAAGCACCAAGCTCGTGCTCGGTGACAAGGCGAACCCTCAGACGACTTTTCATCTCAACGGGAGCGAATAGAGAAACCGCACACGCGCACTCGTCCCGTGCCCTTTACCTAACTCCTTCCCCACAAACAAACAAAACATCGATCGGAAAATTTCACTCTCGTCACACGCGCCCAGGATTCGTTCACACCTCCTTACCGCCGTTTTGTCATTCCTGCAGGCTTTCGCCTCTTCTCCCGTAACGTGGAGAACACTCAGGCGACACAGAATCGGCAAGATTGGTGGACACATGTACATGTTGTGTGAGTGAGTGAGTATTCTTGACTAGTGTGGGACCTGCAGCGGTGGCCCGCCTTTTTCTCCTGGCACACAGGTACTCACTTATCCTCCACCGACGTTCGAGAGGGGAGAGTGCTGCAAACTGCATCGCGATGTACCTCGCTCGTAACATTTTAGAGAACATTTTTCGTAATTAATAATTCGTAAGGTAAAGCTCTTCCGATGTTCCATTCCAGCCAGGCTCGAGTCTCAGGCACCGTCCACAGTCTCACAGGGGGTCGGCGCTTGATCCGGCGCCCGACGCCCGGCGTTGCGAGGCACGCGGTGTGCCCGACGGGTTCGCGCGGTCGCGGCGAAGGCTAAAGAGAGGCGGTCCTTCAAACGCTGGAATGCCTCGTTCTGCTTTCGCGTCGAGCCCTCCAGCTCGCCGCCACCGCCGTGGTCGGGGAACCACCGCGCACGCTCCTGCAGGAACTCGTCCTCAATGTCAAAGTCCGTGGCTACCGGTGCGGGCGAGAGCGGGAAATGCATTTGCTGCTGTCGGCTGAATGATGCTTTGGTCCACTCGCAAGTCACTGGCACCGTCGCGCCTCTCGGCACATCGTCCCAAGGCCGGCCGTAAAATAAGGAGATGCGCCCCTGCAACTCCAGCGCTCGCTCCTGGTCGAGCTCATATGCGTCGCTGTCGTCAGGCGCCTCCTCGCGTGGCCGCCTCACTGGCGAGTCTGGGGTAGGGCAGAAGTTATCCCCGTAGGCGGGCGAGCCAGGCGGTGTCGGACCTCCACCGCCTGGAGCAAGCTGCGCCTCGAGCCATGCCTGTGACGCCTCTGAACCCGGGTCGCGCAGGTATGCATCGGCCTCAGCAGCATCGCCCGTGTAAGCTTGATACGCGCAAGAGAAGTTTACACGGCGGTTGCGAAAGTTGGCAATGCTGCCACGGGTGGAGAGGCCCCAATCACCAGTCTCAGAATCTGACACCCAAATTTTCTCTGAAGCGTGTGCGAGGTCGTCTTGCTTCTCTCGCTCAATCCGCTCACGCTCGAGTTTAGCCCGCTCCTCATGCCGATCGGTCTCGACGCCATCCCAGCCCTCCGGCACCCAATCGAAACAAGAGCCGTGGGTTGCGGGCGTCTCTCACAAGGGCCGACAAAGAGAGCAGATCGGCCTGACACGTCCCGCACATGTCCCCGTTCACAGTTGAACTAATTATCACGGCTGTACACTGTTTATTAATCGGCCGTCCGCGAGCCCCTAGCTCGCCGACGGCGAGAGAGATGCCACGAGGGGTCGCGGTGGCGTCCATCGCCAGGCTCCCTAGCTCAACCGACGACCCTCCTGCCTCGGGATCGACGGCCGATCGTCATCTGACGGCTGCCCATCGTTTGCGCGCGGCTCCAAAAGCGCCTCGTCGAAGTAGTCGCAGGTGACTCCGGGGGCACGTCTGGGGCGATGCCTACGCCATCGTAGGTGCACGTGCACGCACCCTCGCACATGCAACCGTCCATGTACTCGAGCCGGGCGCGCTCGTACGCTTCGGAGGCGCGCCACTGGGTGATGCGTTTACCGTCGATCGGCTGTCCATCCAGCTTGCTGTGGGTCGAGCAGCCAGTCGCGGAAATCCTCAACCTCCACCACGCCGAGAGCTGCCTCCAACGCGACCTTTGCCACCGCAGCGTCAAAGGTGATCGGTGCTGGGTGTAATTTCTTGCTCTCACGCTGCTCACGGCGGCGTCGCTGCTGTCGGCCACTCGTTTCGTCGCCCGCAGGTCGCCCCCTAGCCTACGGCCTAGCCGCCCTCCCCTTGCGACATGGCGGCGGCCCTTCGCTTTGCGCTGCTTGCGAGCCCAGCGGTGATCTGGTGATGCTGTGCTGTCGGCTGCGATTGCCGGATAACTCCCCCACGACGCCAGCAGCCTTCCTGCGTGGTCGCCTGCGTCGCATCCTCGTCGTCGGTGGCCGGTTGCGGTTCGCGCTCTCGCTCCTTGCCCCCCATGCGCGCCGGCTGTTGGCTCCCGAGCTGAGGCCGACGATTTGCGGCGGACGGCCGAGTTTGAATGAGCTGGTTCGCGGCTTCAAGAGCGGTCGGCGCTCCGAGGGGGCCTCCGACACAAGAGACTATATGTAAGGGTAGATACGAAACCACGACGATACACACCCACACACAGTGAATTTGTGTGAGCTCTGTGTCCTGATTTGCCAACAAGATACCTGCCTAACACACACGCACACACACACACACTGGACACATGTGCTCATGTCTCGGCCGCGGTCTACGCCACGCCTCTTCACACAGCTTCTTGGATGGAAAGATATGCCTCTTCACGCCACTTCATTCACGGGCCCGTTCGAGTTGACCGTTGCAACGCCCGGTGTGTGCTGCCGCTCCTCGCTCGCCGCGCCCTCGCCCCGCGCGCTGCCCCGCCCCGCGCCCTGCCGTCTCTCCGCCTCCTCGCCCGGGCCGTGCTCGCCCTCTCCCCAAGCGAGCCCCCGCGCCGCCATGCCCTCTCACGCCCGCGCCGCCGCTTGTCCCGCAGATCAGTTACTATGCGTGAGATCGTCTCCATCCAGGGCGGGCAGTGCGGCAACCAGATCGGCGCGCCCCCCGCCGCCGCATCGCCCGCGCCGCGTCGCCCCGCCGCATCGCCCGCGCGCGCCGCCCCGCCCCGGCCCACCCCGCGGGAGGGACGCGCTCCTCGCCGCCCGCAATCACCATGCCGCCGACCCCCTCCCCCCCCCTTTTTCCCCCAGGCGCCAAGTTCTGGGAGGTTGTCTCGGACGAGCACGGCATCGACCCGACCGGCACCTACCACGGCGACTCCGACCTCCAGCTCGAGCGCATCAACGTCTACTACAACGAGGCGACGGGCGGCCGGTACGTCCCGCGCGCCGTGCTCATGGACCTCGAGCCGGGCACCATGGACTCGGTGCGGTCGGGCCCCTTCGGGCAGATCTTCCGGCCGGACAACTTCGTCTTCGGCCAGTCGGGCGCCGGCAACAACTGGGCCAAGGGCCACTACACTGAGGGCGCCGAGCTGATTGACGCCGTGCTCGACGTCGTGCGCAAGGAGGCGGAGGGGTGCGACTGCCTGCAGGGCTTCACGCTGTCGCACTCGCTGGGCGGCGGCACCGGCTCGGGCATGGGCACCCTCCTCATCTCCAAGATCCGCGAGGAGTACCCCGACCGCGTCATGTGCTCCTACTCGGTCTTCCCCTCGCCCAAGGTGTCCGACACGGTCGTCGAGCCGTACAACTGCGTCCTCTCCATCCACCAGCTGGTCGAGAACTCGGACGAGTCGCTGCTGATCGACAACGAGGCGCTGTACGACATCTGCTTCCGCACGCTCAAGCTCACCACCCCCACCTTCGGCGACCTCAACCACCTCGTCGCCGCCGTCATGTCGGCGTCGACCTGCTGCCTCCGCTTCCCCGGCCAGCTCAACTGCGACCTGCGCAAGCTGGCGGTCAACATGATCCCCTTCCCGCGGCTGCACTTCTTCATGGTCGGCTTCGCGCCGCTCACCTCGCGCGGCTCGCAGCAGTACCGCTCGCTCACCGTCCCCGAGCTCACGCAGCAGATGTTCGACGCCAAGAACATGATGGCGGCCGCCGACCCGCGCCACGGCCGCTACCTCACGTGCACCGCGCTCTTCCGCGGGCGCATGTCGACCAAGGAGGTGGACGAGCAGATGCTCAACGTGCAGAACAAGAACTCGTCCTACTTCGTCGAGTGGATCCCCAACAACATGAAGTGCGCCATCTGCGACATCCCGCCCAAGGGCCTCAAGATGTCGGTCGGCTTCATGGGCAACTCGACCTGCATGCAGGAGGTGATGAAGCGCGTCGCCGAGCAGTTCACCGCCATGTTCCGCCGCAAGGCCTTCCTCCACTGGTACACCGGCGAGGGCATGGACGAGATGGAGTTCACCGAGGCCGAGTCCAACATGAACGACCTCGTCTCCGAGTACCAGCAGTACCAGGACGCCTCGGCCGAGGAGGAGGGCGAGTACGACGAGGAGGGCGGCGAGGAGTACTAGGCGCGCGCCGGCGCTGCGCTGCCGCGTGGCCCGCACTAGCCGCCGGGCCGGCCTCGCGTCTCTTGCATGCGAACATCGGCGACACACGGGAGCCTAGACCTCCCGATGTGGAGCCGCCTCTATCACCTCTCATCACTCATGACCGTTTGTGACTGCGGAGTTGACGTCTCCGTCGGTCGGTTAGATCATAGATGGGATTGGAGGTAGATTGTCTACCTACCGCACCGTTATGTTGTGTGTACCATGTCCCACACCCTAGTACCCGTGTTTGTGCTATGACCAATGTCGTATTAACTATTAGTATTACGGCTTTATCTCATCTCAAATTCTCATATCTGAGATAATCTCAATTATCTGCAAGTGCAACTGCATCGGCTCTCTCTGATCTCTGCGGTCTGCGGTGTCAGGGTCTCTCTTGACTTCTGCTGGTGAGACATCTCCGGATCTCCGCTCTGCGTTCCGGCCGGCTCACACGAGCGTCACCTCAGTCCGCTCACTCGACACACGAAACTCCTTCAAGATCAAGTTCAACCATCCTTCACGGCGCTCAGCGGCTCTCGGCCCTCACACTCCGCTCACGCACGCGCCCCCGCCCGCCCGCCGGCGCGCGAGGCCGCCCGCGGCACGCCGCACACCGCGGGCGGCGTTGAGGGCCCACCACGCACGCGCTCTCACTTCCTGCCCGCCAGCGCGCCAACCAGGCTGCCCACGCCCTGGAAGAGCCTGTACCGTTTCGACATTTGCCACGGCTGCGCCTCGGGAAAGGGCAGCGGTCTGCCGATCGCATAGAGGATGCCGTACAGCCCGCCCAGGCCTCCCGTGTTGCCGACTTGCCGGTCCATCACCACGCCAATAGTGTACTTGGTCACGAGTCCCTTATCGTCGAAGGTGAGGCTGCAGGCTTGCGGCGGGTTGACCAGCGAGCGCCCCGTCGGGACAGGTGCAAAGGGAGGGAACGGGCCGGTGTTGGTGCCGCGGCCTCTCGCCACATACCACACGCGGTTGCCCTCGAGCGGGTCGACCTGGAAGCCGTAAAACTGTGGGCTAAAGTCTGGGAATCCCTTTTGCACGTCGACCGAGCCAATCGCCTTGAGAAACTCTTCTTTGGACAGTGGGCCGACGACCGGCCCGACGAAGGCAAAGTCGTCGCCGAGAAGCTCCGCGTCGGCGCCAAAGCCACCTTTGCTCACGAGGAAGCGCTTGGCGAGCTGGATCAGCTCTGGCGGCTGCAGCGCAAAGCCTGCGGCGGCGAGCGCTGCCGACTCGTCCAGAAAGATGGGGTTGTTCTGCTCTGGCGAGGCGGTCGCAGCGGTCTCCTCCGCCGCGACGCTCGCCGCCGCGCTCGCGACGGTAGCTGAGATGCGTCGCGACGGTAGCTGAGTTGGGAGGCGGTCTCCTCCGCGGCAGTTGGGAGGCGTACGCAGCTGCGTTACGTGCGGTGCGAAAGCGAGGAGAGCGAGCGGCAGAGCGTGCAGCATGGCGGCGCGATGCAATCGTTCTGCCTTCCCTGGAATTTTTCAGTGTACTTTTAGCTTACTGGGAGATCTCTCTCTCTCAGTGTACGTACGTACTTATAGCTTACTGGGAGAAAAGAGAGAGGGGGTTGTGTTCTCTAGTCTCTCTCTCTCAGTGTATGTAGCTCTTACGTACATTCCCGGAGGAGGACTGCTGACGGGGTTTGCGATGAGGAGCGATCCGAACGTGGCATTCGGGTGATTAGATCACTACCGCCGTAACGCAAGAGCACTGCGACGCATCGGGCTCATGCTAGCATCCACCTCGCGAGCCGACGATTTTTCGAACCGGGAACAAGAATTCGCCGAGAATTCCGTCGCAAGCGCGACCACCAGCCCCTGAAGAAGGAAAAGAAAAAACACTCGCGTCAACGATCCAGGAAAAGCGGCGCGTCACGCCCGAGTCGTTGGTGCTCACGATTGAGGTTTGCGAGCCGCCGGGACCGCTTGCCGCCATGCCAAACCTGGAGGCTCCCCTCTCTGCCCGCGGAGGCGCGGATCTCAAGACACGGCTTGCCGCCTATGGGCAGGTCGTAAAGGAAAAGAATACCGCTCTGCCGCGGGGTCGCCGCGGCAGCATGGTCGCCTCCGCAGACAGCGGCCTACGTCGGCGTGAGCGCCCTCAAGCTGCGGAGGACGCGACGGACGATGCGGCGGACGACGCGGCGGTGCCTCTCTCGGCGCGAAACCCTCGCGTCTCGATGTCGGATCGGCAGGCGGCGTACGCAATCTCTTGCGGCGAGCAGCCGCTGCCGCCGACGCCGAGCGAGGCACGCCTCAAGTGCGACCAGTTTGAGCTCGACGTCACCTCCGACAGCTGCGTGCACTGTGGCTACTCGAAGAAGGCGCATCCGGTCTTTTTCCCCCGAGAGGAGACGCGCGGCTGCGTCGACACGCACCCGCTGAAGGCTCAGCCCTCAGGGTCGGCGCCCAAGCCACCGCCACCGCCCAAGCCGCCACGCTTCATCTTCTCCTTGGAGGACGGCGCGAAGGAGCCGGAGCAGCCGCAGCCGAAGACACCGCAGTCGCCGCCGCCGCCACAGTCGCCGCCGCCGCAGCCGACGCCACAGCCGCCGCAGCAGCAGCCGATGCAGCCGCCGCCACCGCAGCAGGAGACGCCTGCCACACCGCCGCCACCGCCGCCACCGACGGGGGAGGAAGCGGCCGCGGCCGACTCGACCGAGGCCCTCGTCTCCGCGCGGCTGGCCCGCGCCCGCGGCGTCAAGCTTCCGGTGCCGCCGGCGACAGTGCTGCGGGAGGACTCCAACGCCCTGGACAGCGCTCGGTACGACCCGCGGCTCAACCCCGACCTGCGCGACGAGGCGATCGAGGAGCAGCACAACGCCGAGGTGGAGCAGCGGCTCGAGGGGATGCAGCGGCTGGTGGCGGCGCAGCAGGCCGTGCTGACCACGGAGCCGGCCGGCGCGCCCAAGGTGACGATCAACCTCTGGCCGTCGGCGCCAGAGGAGCCGCCAGCCAGGCCGCCAACCGAGCCGCCTATCAAAGGCATCAACCTGCGCGCAGAGCTGCAGGCGGAAAAGCTGTCGGTGCTCAAGCGGCGCGCCGTCGCCGCGGGTATCGACCAGGAGCTGATCGATGCGGCGCTGGATAGCGGGAAGCCAAAGCCGGCGATCATCGAGGTGCTCATCGCCGCCGCCGACGACGAGCTGGCAAAGGCCGCGGAGGCGGAGGCGGCGGAGGTGCCGGCGGCGGTGGTGGAGGTGGTGGAGGAGGAGGAGGCCAGCAGCGCGCGGCCCTCGTACGTCGGCGACAGCTTCGTGAGCTCCTCCTTCGACATCATCGAGAGCCCGGAAACCTCGCCCGACTCCACGCCCGCCGCGTCGGGCGATGAGGCGGAGGCGACGGAGGCGACGGCGGAGAAGGAAGAGGAGAAGGCGGAGGCCGACGCCGACACCGACGAGGAGCTCGAGGAGTACGTCGCGGATTTCACGCCGGTTGCCGCGACGCCACGGCCTGCGGAGGAGCAGGGCGACGGCGCCTCAGCGGACGAGGCGGAGGCGGAGGCGGAGGCGGAGGCGGAGGCGGAGGCGGAGGCGGAGGCGGAGGCGGAGGCGGAGGCGGAGGCGGAGGCGGAGGCGACGCCCGCACGCCGGACCAGCCTCTGCGGCCACCGTGGCCCTGGCAGCGACGTCTATGATGACGCCGCCGCCGTGTCCGACGAGCCTCCGCCGTGGCAGCAGTTTTTCACTGAGGACGGGTTGCCCTACTATAGCAACGGCGTCGAGACCGCCTGGGAGCCACCCGCCCAGCAGGCGCCGCCGACTCACCCCCCTCCGGAAGACACGGGACCGCGCGAGGAGGAGAGCCCGGCCACCGAAGACAGCAAGGCCTCTGCTCCCGATACCGGCGTCGCTCCCGAACCGAGCCAGCCCCAGCCGACGCAGCCCGTGACCTCACCCCCGGTCGGCCTCGCCGCGCGGCTGGCTTCGCTCGAGGCGCGAGTCGGGCTTCCCGATGGAGGACCTCGCCCCCCGCTCCCGAGGATCCGTGAGCTCGAGGCGGCGGCGGACCTGGTGCCCGCCACCCCGCGCGGCACACCAAAGAAAGCCCTCGCTGCGAGGCTGATGGCGATAGAGGCCTGGGCCAATGCCAACGGACTGTGAGGCGCGGGCTTCGGCCTCACATCCCGCTAATGTAGACCCAGCGCGTCGCAGCGAGAGGCGACTGCATCGGGGCGCAGTGAAGAGTTGCTCCGGCGATCATGAAAGGCATCATAGGGGAGAAGTTTTGTGGGACACATGAGAGATATTATCGTGTGGATGTGGGATCGTGTGTGAGGTGTGTGTGACGTTGGTCCCATCAGTTGTCCCTTCTCCATATGCGTGCTTTTGGTGCATATCACTATGTCTACTATACTCACAGGAAAACTTGGCACTGTGATCATGCATGTGTGCGACGTCGTCGTGACTCGTGTGTGAGGGTGAGCGGCTCGGCTCTGCGCTCTCTCGTGTCACAAGAACGCAACTCTCCAGCAGCCCGTCCGCCGCCTCTCAGCTAGAGCTGCTCACAATAAGAGAAGCGCCCCCCTGGGCAGCCCCCGCAGCCAACTCTCCCCGCTCCCGAGCTCGCCTGCCTCGCTCATACAACCCGCTAGCCCCCACAACCCCGCGCCCGCAAAATGAGCCCACGCCAGACCTCCTCGGCTGAACCTCGGCTGCATCTCGGTTACGAGATCTGCAACGCCTTGGCCTCCTCGGTGTAGATGAAGCGCGCGCGAAGCCCGTCGAGCGCGCGCCGCGCGTAAAGCGCGCAGAGAGCAGTGGCGAGGGGCGTAGCGGCCGCCGCCACGCGTGCAGCGCGGCCGCCCGGCGCCAGGGCGAGGATGGCGGCGGAGGCGGCGGAGGCGGCAAGCGGCACGGCAGCGACGCGGTTCGACAGGGCCCCGATGATCGGGCCGACGAGGTAGGCGCGGAGCAGCACGGCCGAGTAGGCGGCGGCCGCGGCGGCGCACGCGAGGCTGAGGGCGAGGGGCGGCGCCGGCGTGACGGCGAGCACGAGGGCGGCCATCAAGGACACCTTCGCGGCGGAGGCGGGGAGGGGGAGGAGGGTGGGGGAGGAAGGGGGCGCAGGCCAAGTGTGTGCAGAGAGAGCGTGCGTCGCGGGAGGGACTGCGCTGCTCCCGCCTGGGAGGTCGCGCCTGGGAGGTCGAGGCCGAGACGCCGATGAGGCGCTCGGTCAGCTTGAGTGCCGCCATGCAGGTGGGGCACTTCTTGGTGTGCTGCTCGTACCGGTCGAGGAGGACGGTGCGCGGCATCGGCGGCGCGTGCGCCTCCCCAGCGAGCGGCGGGCTGCGCCACGGCAGTGCGGCGGCGGCGGCGTCGAGCTGCTTGCGGAAGCTGATGACGAACCGGTCCGCCTCGGCCGGCATCACCTGTGCATCACAGCCGTGCCATGGCTGACAGCGACGGTGGTGTGGGCAGCCGTCGGACCGGCGCGGCGGGCATCACGTAGCTGCGCCCGCCGCCGACCTCGCTGTCGCGCTTGGCGCGCCACGCGCCGCCCCAGCCGTCGGCGCGCAGTGCCTGCAGGCGCGCCTCCTGGCCGCAGAGGAAGGCCATGTCTTGGTCAAAAACGATGTTGTTCTCGAGGTGCTTTGCGACCTACCCCCGCTCCGCTCGCAGGTGTGAAGAGAGGGAAGCGGCCTGCGCGGGCGCCTCCTCGAGCTGCCGCCACCAGATCCGCTGTGCGCATCACCCGCTCCGTCCGGAAGTTGCGTGCGCGCCGCACGAGGATGCGCGATCGGCCGCGCGCAACCTGTTCGCGGCCAGCCGGCGTGAAGAGCGCACGACCACGCGAGGGAGGGGCGTGGCGGGCTCGTCCCCGCCGGGATGGGGTAGAAGAGCGCGCTCGCATCGCCCGCCGGCACGGAGAAGCGGTACGCGAGCAGCGAGGGCGCCTACCCGTGAGCCACCCCAGGGCAGGTGTCGATTCCGTCCTCGGGTGCAGCGTCGCGTGCGCGGCTTGGAGCGCCGTGAAGGTGACTGTCTGCACCGCCTTGGTCTGCGCGAAGCTGAGCCGGGAGGAGGCGTGCAGCGGCACCTGAGGGGGCGGCGGTAACCCTAGAGCTGGCCGCGCGCAGCTCAGCTGGCGGGCTTGGAGGGGGGGGTGTGCAGCCGGCGCCTCCGTCTTGCCTTGGAAGCCGATTGGAGGCATGCGCTCGCTCACCGAGGTCGCGATGGGCTGGGCGAGGTTGCGGTCTCCCTGCACCGTCCCGTGGTGGCTCACCGGGACGTGGCTCGGGTCGATGATGTTCTCGACAAGGGTCGTGTAGTCGTATGGCAAGTCGCGCATGTAGTCCTGCTCGTAGATCCACCTGCTCGCGCGCGCGGCCGCGTGAGGCGTCGCTTCGAGGGGCCCGCCGACGGCAGGAGTCCTCGCCCCTCCGCGTCCAGCTCTGGCGCCAGCGGCAGCGGCACGCTCTCGGCGAGCGACGCGTTGCCTACGGGGCGACGCCGCGACCTACTCGGACTGTGCGCATGGTGCGGCCCCGCGGCGACGGAGGGCGGTTCCGAGAAAGACGTAGGCCACGCCCTGCGCCTCACGCACCTGGTCGGGCGGGAGGCGAGCTCTGAGCGAGAGGGGCGGCGAGAGCTCGGCGCCGGCACGGGCCTTTCTCTCTCGCGCGCCGGGTACGCGCTCGCGCCGTACAGCGGCAGGATGGGCTTGGTGCCCTCGAGCTGCGGCAGCTTGGTGCACTTGCCGCAGCCTGCAAACTGCCAGCCGTGGTAGGAGCACTCGAGCCGCGTCTTGCCCGAGGCGTCCACCGCGAGACGACCCTCGGAGAGCGGCGCCAGCCGGTGCGGGCACGTGTCGGCGAGGCACTGGAGCCTGCGGCGCACGCCCGGCAGGCGGTGAGGAGAAGCGGCGGAGGGGAGCGGAGGAGAGCGATTCGGAGCGGAGGAGAAGCGGCGAGGAGAGCGGGGAGTAGGAGAGCGATTCGGAGGGAGCGGAGGAGGAGGAGAGCAGACCCCTCTTCATCCCTGTAGAGCACGAGTGGCCTCTCGAAGACCTGCGCGGCAACCGGGCTGTCGGCGGGCACGTCGGCGGTAAACATGACCGGATACCAGTTGTCCAGCCACGAGTCGGGCACCAGCTTCCCCTCTGGCGGCTCGGCTTCGCGACGCTGCGCGCAGGAGCGAGTCGGGAGTGGGCACAGGAGTGGCGTGCAAGCGAGGGTGTGTGAGCATGTGTGGGTGGTGTGCGGCGTGTCGTTACTCGCTGCGGCGTGCGGAGTGATCGTTCTGGAGCTAGCTACGCGGTAGATCTCCAGCTGATGTTAGCTGATGTGTCTTAACATGGACATGGGCTCGACATTCACCTTGCCGGGTTGGGCGCGCTCACTCGGCAGCCGGGACGAGACTGGGGAGGGAGATACGGCGAGCGTGGCGCGACCGCCGCGGAGGGGCGCGGAGAAGCCGCGGGTTCGAGAGTTTGGCGTGAGTGGGACGAGGCCGGCCACCAGGACTAGGTAGTAGTGCATGACCAGCCAAAGCGCGAAAGGGACCTTTGGCTTGATGGAGGCTTCCGATTTCTTGTCCCTTTGCGCTGCAGTTGGGCGGGCGGGCGGGCGGGCGGGCGGGCGGGCGGGCGGAGGGGGCGGAGCGGGGGCGGGGGGGCGGAAGGGTGATGCGATGTGTTCGCGGTGCGCGGGGCGGGGGCCGGGGCGCGGGCGCGTGTGACGACAAAAAGGCGCTTGGCGTCGCTTTCTTCCTCTCATTGATAAGGGGGCCGATACGACAGTCCAACGAGCTCTGTCATGGAGCACAACTCACACGTCGTGCACGTATACTGCTCCATCACGACGGGAAATCTCTCGGGAGCGGATGAAACAGAACTATGTCCCCGCACGGCTGTGAGCTAAGCCGCGGCGCCGAACGATGCTCGCTGAAACACCTTTTGCGCCTCCTCGTCTGAACAGCCGGTGTAGAACTTGAAAAACTCCGCACGCGAGACCACGCCGTCCTTGACGAGCTGGTCGGCCTCGGCCATGTCTAAATCGACCATCAGCGTCTTCGCAAGGGCTTGCAGCTCGCTCTCGCCGATGGTGCCGTCCCCATCTTTGTCAAACTGTTTGAAAATGGCCATGATGTCCTTGATCTCCTGGTCAGTGTACTCTTGCAGCGAGCCTTTCCCCTTTAGCGCGTCGAACTGCTGTGCGTGATCGACAAATGCGATAGACGCCTCTGCCGGCGAGCAGCCGGAATAGAATGCGAAGAATTCCATCGGGTCGATCTTGCCGTCCTTGGTGTACTTGTCGCCATCATCTACATTCAAGTCGACACCCATAGCCTCCGCAAGGTGCTCCACCTCTTTCTCATCAATCTGGCCGTCCTTGTCGGCATCAAAATCGCGAAAGATTTTGAGGATGCCACGGATCTCGTCGCCCGACCACTCCTTGAGCGGCTTCGGGAGAATAAGAGGCATCCTCCGTTCTACGCACAGCTGCGAGCCTGCGGGCGACCCTCACAGCTCACAGTCACAGTCGCGAGCTGACAAGGCCGAACGGCGAAGCTTGCGGGCAAACGTCCACAAATTGACAGCTTGAACGAGGTTTTTTTCCCTACCGGTATGGTAGCGTCACGGCCCAAGGGGGGGGGGGGGGTCCTGACCGCCCAAGACTGGCCCTACCATATCCCCAAGCAGGTCTGTCAACAGGTATTGGTCTCGAGGTGGGTTGCGTGACACTACCGTACCATACCCCGGAAAAAGTTGGAACCCCAGGGGCAGCTGGGGTGGGGAGGAGGGGGAAGTGAGAGGAATGTTGCCCGCAAAGGTGTACAGTGGGTTGCAGGCATTAAGAAAACGTGGCATTAAGAAACCCTACCAAGCGATTTCCGCAAAAATCTAAGAAACCACGGCGCGCCGCAGGCGCGGCCCCGAGAAAAGGCCAGATACGAGTGTGAACGGGAGCCCCAGCTGCAGCTCAAAATTAGTCTTCGCCTGCGGCGCGCGCACTTGTCACTTTTCAAGTCTGCGGTGTTCTGAGTGGAGTGGATGGAGGCGTGTGTGCGTCTTCCCGTCACATCCAGAGAGCCGACTCGGCGGCAGACTCTGGCATCGCCCTCGCGGACCGCAGCTTTCCTCTCACCTACTCGAGTAAAACTCCTTCCTTCGGTCGGGCCGGCTCTGGCTTGAGTGCCGGCCGGAGCTAAGAAACCACGGCGTGGGGTGGATGAGGGCTGTGGAAAGGCATAGAAACGGCGGCGTGCCGCGGAATCCTGTTTTCTTAATGCCCGCAACCCACTGTAGGACAAAAGTGGAGGACGTGGTTCGGCAAGACGCTGTTGTTGTAAAATTCTTACGACCCTCACCCGCCAACTGTGGGGGGTGCCCGAGCATGATGTATGTGCGCGTCTGTGCGTGTGTGACACAGACGTTGTGTCACACGTTGTATGCGCGGGGCTTCCCGCGGGGACCGGAAACGTACCGCCGCCGCCGCCGTCATCAACAACGGCCCGATTGGCCCGACGACGCCCAAGACGGCACGTGGAATGCAGCAATGCAGCAAGAGGATGAAACTCATCGCCCTCTTTACTCTCTGTGCGGTGATCCTGTCCCCCGTGACTGCCTGCTCCAACATCCTCGTGTCGCCGGCCGCTTCAGAGGACGGCAACGTTCTCATCGGTGCAAATGATGACTCGGCAAAGCGCTTAGGCGCAGTCACACACTTTCCAGCACAGAAGCACGGCCCTGGGGCGATGCGCCGCATCTATCACTTTGAGACTGGCGCGCTGAGCGGGCAGATCCCGGAGCCGAACGTCACGCACAACGTCATGTCGCACGCCAATGAGCACGGCCTCGTAATCGCAGAGACGACGCATGGCGGCATTGCGCGCCTGGCGGGCGGCAGCGAGGACCTGCTCGACTACGGCTCGCTCATAATGGTGACGCTCCAACGCGCAAAGACGGCACGCGAGGCGGTGCGGACGATCGTGGCGCTATGCGAGGCCCACGGCGAGATGACGGCGCAACATGCCGCGCCTCGATAACGCACGTCCCACCACGCTTCCATTCCACACGGTAGGCTACGCCTCCACCATGGAAGGCTTTTCCATCTCGGACGGCATTGAGGCCTGGTATATGGAGCTGATTGGCAAGGGCAGGCACGGTAAGGGTCTCGTCTGGGTGGCGCTGCGTGTGCCAGACGGCTATTTCACTGCTAACGCAAACCAGGCTCGCATCACGCAGTTCCTGCCGTGCGACGACCCAGACTCCTGCATGATGGCCCCCGACGTCCTCATTTTTGCCGTCGCGCGCGGACTGTGGAACGGGTCCACCAGCGACCCCACCTTCAGCTTCTCGGATGTGTATGATCCTGTCACGCCGACGGGCGCGCGCTTCTGCGACGCGCGGGTTTGGTGAGATGATGCCATGACATGACACGAGGCAGATGATGACTGCGGAGATGCGTTGTGATACTGCACGTAGGTACATCTTTCGCGAGCTCGCCGACCCCGCCGACTTTGACGCTGAGTACTACCTCCCGTACGCCCGCGGCTTCAACCTGACGCGTCGCATGCCGCTCTTTGTCCGACCCAGGCGGAAGCTTCGCCGCGCGGACGTGCACGCGCTCCTCTCGTCAAAGTACGAGGGCTCCGAGCTCGATCCGAGTCTCGACGGCGTGCCCCCGCTGGTCGCCACCACACGCCATCGCCCGGGTGCACACTAACCTCTCCGTCCGTCCAACTAGTGGGCGCCGGTGCGGAAGGAAATCCCTACCGCGCAAACGGCCTGAGCTACAAGGTGGGCGGCGCAACCTACGTCAACGAGCGCGTCATCGGCACGCAGTACACGGCATGGCACTTTGTGGCCACCATCCGAGGCGCGCTTGTCCCGTCAGCTGTGGCTGCCAGGCCACTTCAACCTTGTCGTGTTTCTGATTGCAGGCGCGGAGGTGCCGCCGCCCGTGCGGGCACTACTGTGGTGGGGGAGCGACGATCACGCGTGGGCGCCCAAGGTGCCCCTGTTTGGCGGCGCGACAGCAGTGCACCGCGCGTACGACGACGGCAACTGCTCTGCGCGGCTCGCCTGCCGCGCCGCGCTCGACCTTCCCGGCTCGGTGCTCACGTTCTCATGGGGCTCGGCCTTTTGGGTCAACTCTGCCGTCGCGCGGCTCGTCTATCAAGTGCGGAAGGGCTGAGTGGACCGGGGACGGTCATGTTGTTGACACGCTCATCCCCATCGTCACAGGACTATGAACGCGCTTCGGCCGTTGTCGAATGCGCGCGTGAGGCGTTCGAGTCGTGGGCCGCGCCGAAGGTCGAGTCGGCGGACAAAAAAGCGCGCCGTCAATGGGCAGCGGGTGATCCGAGCGCGGTACGCCGAGATTCAGCCGAGGTAAGGTTGCCGTGCCGGAGGCTGAGCGTTGCGGTCACGCGCTCGGCAGGTGAGCGCGACTCTGACGGAGCTGGCGCTGGCAGCCGGTGCAGAGGCGATGTCAAGGTGGGAGAAGCTGTGGATGGACTTGTTGGTCACCTTCCAAGACGGCAACACGGCCTCGGCAGATGCGCATGACCTATTGTGCGGCTGCGCCAAGGCATCCGCAGTCTATTCGACCCGTTGGCTGCAGAAGGTCGCCGACGTCCAGCAAGAGCCCTTCAGTCGTCATTATTACTAGAGCGATGCGATATGTGATTTTACGATAGGTGGTGGACGATGCCGGCGACCATTACCGGCTGCCAAGCAAGGAGTGCGCCTCGATCGACGCGGATGGCCATTGCCACCCCGAGGCGCCGCAAAAGCCCAGCTCCTTCAACGTGTGGTTCGCGCCCGTACCACCTCGGCGTGCGGTAGCGGCGTCGAACATGGCGCCGATATCGAAGCTAGAGGTGCGAGGCGTCATGGGCTAGTATGAGGGGGTTCATAAGGGTCCATTAGGCAATATTCATCTGGCTGCCGAATTTCTTCGTAATTTGGGGGGGACCTCCTTTTTCCAGTGTTATGTAGTTGTAGCTCTTTATACGAACATACCAGAGAGAGAGAGAGAGAGAGAGAGAGAGAGAGAGAGAGAGAGAGAGAGAGCGTAGGGCCCTTAGGGGCCTAGAGAACACAGTCCCCTCTCCCTTTTCTCCCAGTAAGCTAAAAGTACGTACCCGAGAGAGAAAAACCGAGAGAGTCAATCAATCAATCTGCCCATAGGGGTGGTTGAGGGGTTGAGGGTTGAGGCCCCCCCTCAACCATCTGGTTGACGGTTGAGACCCGTGCCTGTGTTAGTACTAGCAGGTGCCAGTCCGCGCCTGTGTCGAGCCTGCTGCTGTAAGCTGTAGAGAGAGCTGTTTTTGTAAAACTCCACACATACTCTATTCCGCTATAAATCCAAAAAGCACTCACACTTCTGCCCGAATCTGCGTCCTGAGGCTGGCAATGGTCTGCTCCTGCGCTTTGAGTGCAGCCTCGAGCTTAGCTGTCACGCCGCGGCTCGCCTTGGCTGCATTCGCCAGCCGCGCGTTCTCCTCTCGCAGCAACATTTGTGCCCGCTGCCCCTCCTGCAGCTCCGCGATGGCGTTGTTCGCGCGTCGCGCCTGCTCATCTCGCTCACGCAACGCCGACTCCAGCGCAGCCGCGTGATCACTCTGCCAGGTATTGAGGGCAGCCACCTGTAGCGCGCCGCCGCATGAGACGCGTCCGGGAGTGGCGAGGGCTATCTGGCCAATGCCTGCTGAGATCGCGCGGCGGCGCGGACAGCCGCGACCCTGTGCTCCGCTCGCTTCTGCAAAAAGGACGCCTTCTCACCGGCGCGTCGTGACTGGTTACGCAGCCGCAGCTCGTACTCGTGCTGCACGTCGCGGTGAATTCGCGCCTCTGTGCTCCGCAGCGCGTGCATCAGCCTGTGGTACAGCCGTAGGCCAGCGGCGGTGAGTGGGAGTCCAGCGGTCATTGTAAGAAGCACATGGCTGTAGTTCGCTGCAAGAGGCACGCTTGGTATGTGATACCAGGGCGACCGGAGCAAGAGCTGCTGCACCTGCTCAGCATTTCTCGTGACTCGTCCAGCTGAGACTGGAGCTCTCGCAGCTGGGGCAGAGCAGACTCGTCGGTCTGGCAAGCCTGGTGGTTGCGGACGCGCCGGCGGCCACCAGCTGGTGTGGGGATAAGCGGCACACTTGCGGACGGGCGCAGGGTGGGCGCGCCGAAGCCGATGTCCGGGAGGGCTGGCATATATATATGTGTGTGAGTGTTTGGCGCCGACAATATGGCCGTTACGAATGGTTTCGTAAAAAATAAAACAAAAAAGACAGGAGCAGCAGCAGCAGCAGCAGCAGCAGCAGGGGCAGGGGCAGGGGCAGGGGCAGGGGCAGGGGCAGGGGCAGGGGCAGGGGCAGGGGCAGGGGCAGGGGCAGGGGCAGGGGCGGCAGGGGCAGGGGCAGGGGCAGGGGCAAGGGCAGCTTATTGGAGGCGCGAGAACGAACCTGCGACCACTGCGAGGCGTGCGCGTGGCCGCTTAAATGCGGCCCGATGGGGAGGAGTGGGGCGGATTACATCGGCTTCTTACACAGCCCTTCCTTGCAGCGAGCCCCCTTCAACCCACCCGCGCTAGGTCTCGGGGGACGCAGGGGTCAGCCCCGCGCGACCTCGGAAACTAGCCGGGGCAGTCGGAGAAGGGGCAACTCCGTGCACTGACGGTCGGCCGTCAGAAAACACGGTCACACACCAATCCTCGCTACCCAACGCGGCTAAAGGATTTCCCCTCGACTACCTTGAGAGACGAGAGAGAGAATTCTTGATACGAAACCACGACGACACACACCAGTCGACTCGCATCGGTTGCCTCCATGAACGGCGGAGCTATTCTCGCGTCCACACCACACCTGGCTCCAACGTGGACACGCCCATAGCTGGGGACACTACTAGGTCACGCATGGCATCAGAAGTTTTATCTCTGGGCCCCGAAAGGCATCTCTAGCAGCGTCGTTACGCATGCGCCCTCCCCTCCTGGGCCCACACGCCTCACGTCTCGACAGAGCATAAGCCCTTGGCGTGTGACGAGACGAGTTCTTCGCCATCGCAGCGAGCAGCAAGCCACTCTCCGCAGCAGCCGGAGGCATCGCCGCAGCACTGTCTGCGCCGCGGTCCCGCACCCGTCGACGAAGCTCCCCCCGCGGAAGACCGCGCGTAGCGACGCCTTGACGATCGAGATGAGCGCGCTTGAAGCTCGCCCACCTACTGCCCCTGAGAGTTGGTTACCGAGTGGGATCAGCTCCCCCCCTTGGGATCGAAGCCGCCACACCTCGCACCCAACATCCCAGGCAGGATCAGAGAGAGACTCCGCACCGGACACCGCCCGGGCACAGACCCCCTACCCGTCGGACTACGCCTGGACCCCTCACAGAGCAGCCCACGCACAGGTCACGCATCGGCAGATTTGACACCTGGTTCAGGCGTAGACAGCACACACTGGTCACAGTTGCATAGCCCTGCCGGGGGGGACGAGTTCGCAAGGTTAATATTAAAGAATACAAAGTGGTGACAACCACTGAGTTCTCAGTGGACGACGAGCGTCGACTGAACAGAAGAGCGTCCCCACGACGCCTCGGTGCCACCCACCGGTGTGAAGCCATCCGGATCTATCGGGTTCGCCCTCCGGACGGACCCGTCCCCGCGATGGCCCACAGTCCTCCGTCACCGAGTCGAGCCCCCTCCCCCCCCCAGTCCTCGTACTCGACCTCGATCCTCTCGACCTCGTACTCGACCTACCCCCCTCCTCATCGCTGACCCGATCCTCCACCTCCCCCTGATCGTTGCATCTGATTTTGCTGATCTCTCACCGCAGCATATTTGTGACGCCGCTCCCTGTCTCTCGCAACCTCTCTCTCTCTCTCTCTCTCTCTCTCTCTCTCCTTGAGAGACGTCGCGAAAAAAAAAGCTGCGTGAAGCCACCGCCGATGTGTGTGTACATGCCGGCGCCCGCCCTGCGTTTCTCGGTCTGCTTGCTTCTTACCTCCGTCGCTGAGGCGCACGTGTTCGCCCATGCGCGCGCCATCGCCGTGGCCAGCGTGCGGCACACAGGCAGCGTCGCGGCAGCTCCGGCAGCTGCCCTGGACGGCAACCCAGTGTCGCGTAGGCTATTGCTCCGCGGTGCTGTGTGGGCCACCGGCGTGTACAGTAGCGTTGGATCGGCCGCCTGCGCGTCGGCGTACACCGTCAGCCAAGTCAAACCAAGCGAGAAGGAGACGTACGAGGTGGCTCAGAAGGGCGATGGAGCGCTCCGCGTCCTTTGGGTTGGAGCCGGCAGCTTGAGCGGCGTGTTCAAGGGGCTGTTCCCGGCCGGCAATGAGGTAGTCGCAGTGGATCTCGTTCGGCCAGACCGAACGGACTATAGCGCCGCCACAACCTACGCAGCTGAGCACGGCTATAGTCTGCGCTTTGAGCAGGGCGACGCGACCAAGCTCAAGTTTCCCGACGGGTCGTTTGACGTGGTGGTGAGCTCCATGTTTCTGTGCCAGGGGAGCGAGCTCGATGTTCCCGTGCCGAATTGGGAGGAGATCGTCGTCTCTGAGATCCAGCGCGTCCTGAAGCCAGGCGGGCGCTTCGGTTTCTACGAGCACATTGAGGACATCGACAAAGTGATCGTTGACAAGGTATTTGGCGAGCGGTCTGTCATTCGGGTCCAGGCTTACCCTGAGAGAACCAACGTGATTGCTGGAGTTGTGAGGAAAGTGTAAGAGCGATTCGGCATTTTTTGTATGTATGTGCAAAGAGAGAGCTCAACTTTCATGTCACTGAACGAGTGAGTCACTGTCTCATGTCAACGTACTTTGGTGGGAGGAGACACGGCCGGCGGGGTCCCCGGCGGGGGGCGCGGAGTCCGGAGAGCGGAGTGGTTGCGTTCCGGAGACTGGGGGCCTGCGTGACCGCTCGGGAGTACGGGAGAGCGCCACTTAGAGCGCCGGTGCGCGGTCGACCCCCCCCGCCCGCGCTCCCGCGGCGGTCCCGCCGGCCGCGCGCCCCCCGTCCCCGTGTGTGGTGTGCGAGTGCGTGTGGTCGGTCGTTCGGTTATACGAGGTAGTCCTTGCATTACGGCTTGTTCCCTCTCGTGGAGTCGGACTCGGTCTCGCGCCTCGCGGCTCCTGACGAAATGTGCTGAAACTCTTGTGCACCGTCCGCACCGATGAGTGAGCTGATTTGCTGAGATGCCACTTGCTGATGCTCTTGCTGTGTCCTCTCCTGTGTGTGTTGTGAAGGAGTGAACGTACGTAAAAGACAAAAGAGCGACGGAGACTGCGCGGACGAGTTGCAAGTATGGAAGGACCGACGCTAGACGTGCGTTCGTGCGGTCCCGGCAACCGAACCACTCACCACACCCCGCGACCGACGAGCGCGACGTGCCGACGTCGTCTCGATGCGGTGTACATAACAATGCGATGTGTGTGAGTATGACTAACTCCTGCCTCCCCGCAGCCAGCAACGAAAGGCGAGGGGGCGGGATGCGGGGTGCGGGGATCGAGAGCGATTCAGGCCGGCGGCGCGGCGCCGCGCGCCTCCGCCACGACCGCCTCCGCCGCAACCCTCGGCTCGTCTGCGCGCGTGATAGGCCTTCCGACGACGAGCGACGTGGCACCGGCGGCCATCGCCTGGGCGGGCGTCATGACGCGCCTACGGGACGCAGGGGCGGCACGTCTGGGGCGTGTGCTCGGCGGGCCAACGCCCCGGCGTGTGCAAGGGCGCGCTTTTGGTCGCCGACTGCGGCGCCCGCCGGCCGGATGCCGGGCACGACGAGCTGAAAGGTGGGCCCGCACGCCTACGCGCGCGCTTGTGGCGTGGGCTCGCGCGGGGGGCGCTAGCGGATGCGAGCACACGCGGCTAGGTCTCTTGGCGGGCGAGACGGGGCCGGGTGCGGATGGGTGAGGCGAGGCGGGGCCGGGTGGAGGCGGGGTGAGGCGGGGCGGGGCGGGACGCTCGCCTCCCGGATGGCGCTGATCTCCGCGGCGGAGCAGACGACGCCATCCATGCCGCATCTGTGGGAGAGGAGGGCGGGGCGGGGTCCGGTCCGCTGGGCGGGCGGCGGCGGCAGGCGGGGCGGCGAGGACGGGAGGGGAGCGGGCGCGGGAGGCGGCAAGCGCACTCTTTGGCGAGCTTGGCGAGCCGGACGACCTGCTCTCGCACGGGCGGCGCCTGCCCGACCGCCACCAGGTCCGCGTCGTCCAGGCTCGTCAGCACTGTCACCGCCAGCATCGCCGGCCGCGGCACTCCCAGCCGCTCCGCCTCCTCTGCCGCCGCCGCCGCCGCGGCGCGCATCATCTCTGGACCGCCACCGGCGTGGACGTTGAGCAGCGCGGCGCCGAGGCCGACCGTCGCGCGCACCGCGCCGGCGACCGTGTTCGGAATGTCGTGGAACTTGAGGTCGAGGAAGAGCGGCGCGGAGCCCGCCGCCTCGACGACGGAGCGGACGCCGGCGGCGCCGTGGGCGCAGAAGAACTCGAGGCCGAGCTTCACGCCGAGCCCGGGCATCTGGAGAGAGCCGACCATGCTCGTGGCCGCCTCAAGGTCGGGCGTGTCGACAGCGACGAACACGGGCGTAGCCATTGTCCGTCACTCGGCGGCAGAAGCGGCGGCAAATGAGAAGAAAAACGGGCCTTGCATCACAAGCTTGGGTCCGAAATCGCACAGCGACAGTTGTCACGCAACACGGTCCCCCCGCAGGCAGGCAGGCAGCCTTTCTCTTTGGTCACTTTCGAAGCTTCCGACTGAGCGAGTGACGGGTAATCGTGGCCGTGGCCAAGAAAATCCAAATATTAAGGGCGAAGACGGCTGCCTAGGACACAGAGGACCTGTCGGACCAGCTGCTGCCCAAGAAGGTCGAGGCGTGGGCGCCGGGGCAGTGAGAAGCCCGCGCAGTTGTTTTGGAAGAAAGAAAGAAAAAGAGGACCCAAGGGAGGGATGGGAGGACGGCACGCCCCCACCACCAGTTGTTTTGGACGAGAAATACGCGCCGCTTTTCTTTTTGCTACCACAGAAGCTTCCAGCTGGTCGACTCGTCGGTACGAGACCGCAGAGACACATTCACGCATGCGTCTGCCCGCGCCTCCCAAACTCGACAACGCTGTCGCCGCGCCTCTCCTCGCGCTGCTGCTCACGGCTGCGGCGCCGCCGCTGCTGCTCTCGCCTTCTCCGGCGCTCGCCGCCGCCTCCACCTCGCCGACCTCGACGGAGCTCTCGCGGCTCTCCGCCGGCCTCGCCCGCGTCGACTACCTGCTGCGCGACTGGGACCGGCTGACGACGGTGTGCAACGGTGTGCAGGACGCGACCGAGGCAAAGCAGGTGGCGCGAACGATCGGCGACCAAAAGTGCTCAAAATCGCCACTCATCGTGCAGCGCTACATTGGCGCGTCGTCGACGCTCGATCCGCTTTTCAAGGCGGACAAGCTGATGATCCGGGCGGCGTCGCTTGTCGCTCCGGAGCAGCAGGAGGAGTACAGCTCGGCGGTGGACGTGTACATTCGCGAGCAGCAGATGTCCTCCACGATGGCGTACACCTCGTCGTGGTCGGGGAGCGAGAACCCGAACGGCTCGGTGTGTGCCGGGGGCGGGAGGGAGGAGCCCGTCCTCGGGGTGGTGGACGCGCCCCGTCACCCCCGCCGTGGCGCGGTTCGCAGGTGGAGCAGATCGAGGAGAACCTACTCGAGGCGAAGAAGGAGGTGCTCGAGACGCAGGCGGCCTTGCGCACTATCGTGCGCCTGCTCGGCCTGCCGCCGGCGCCGCCCTTTGCAGAGTGAGGGACCCGGGGTGTTTTCAGTGTATGTGGCTCTCACAACATACCCGAAGGTGGAAGACTTCATGACTACTGCTGTTGTCAGGGTTTCCGATGTTGAGTAATAAGTTCGAGGTGAGCCTTGAGCGGTCGGGTTCACACCACCGCCGAGAAAACGCATGCCTCGCCGATTTCTCTTTCTCAGGCCACTTCCGATCGCTTCGGCTGCGTTCGACACGGCAACGAGCTGCCAACCATAGCGACCTTTCTGCTAGCTGTTGCTGCGCTGCGGAAGCCTGGGCATCGCATGTGCCGCTTGGGCGGCCGCATGGCTGCCAGTGGCGCCGCGGTGGCCTCCGGCACGCTGCCTGATATGCTGAGGCGCATGGACTCCAGTGCCAAGCGCGAGCTGATGGCGGACCCGCAGAATGAGGCGCTGTACCCGAACCAGGAGTCGCGCGAGAGCTTCGGCCATTATGTCGAGTGCCAGCCCGACCCGCTTCCGCAGCCGTACCTCGTCGCAGCGAGCGCCAGCATGTGCGGTGAGCTCGGGCTGAGTGCCGAGGAGGCCAAGGAGGATGGGTTCGTGCGGCTCTTCTCCGGTGACCTACGCGACGCGACCCTCCGTGCGATCGCCACCCCCTACGCCGTCTCCGTCTTCGGCAGCCCGATCTGGGCGCCCGACCCGTTTGGGCGCGGCAACGGGTACGGCGACGGCCGCGCGGTGTCGCTGGGCGAGGTCGAGTGCGGCGGCGGGTCGCGGTGGGAGCTGCAGCTCAAGGGTGCAGGCACGACCCCCTTCTCGCGCGGCGGCGACGGTCGCGCCGTGCTTCGCTCGAGCGTGCGCGAGTACCTCGTCTCCGAGGCGAGAGAGAGAGAGAGAGAGAGAGACAGACAGACAGACACAACACACACACACACACACACTTGCCCACACACTCACGGGCACACACGCGCAGGCACGGGCACACTCGCGCACACACCGCCGCCTCCCCGCGCTTCCCAAGCTCCGAGCCGGTCGGTCGTGCGGGTAGGCGATGCACCACCTCGGCATCCCGACGACGCGCGTCCAGTCTAGATGCGCGAGCGAGAACACACACCCGCTCCCCGCCGCGAGGGCGACGCGTGCTCGGCTGCATCCGCCGCGTCCTCGCACCGGCCAGTGCACGAGCAACCCGCTCTCCCTCCCCGCCACCAGCTGGCCGGAGAGAGAGCCCTAGCCCCTCCCCCTCCCGCAGGCGCGCCCTCTCGCTGGTCGCCTCGTCGACGCAGCGTGTGCGCAGGATGTGGTACAAGGAGGGCGACCGCGGCGGCAGGGACCACCCGCCCGACACGCTGGTCACCGAGCGCTGCGCGATCACCTGCCGCGCCGCCCCCTCCTTCCTTCGCGTGGGTGAGCCGAGACACTCCCCTCGGGCCGCTCCTCTCGCCCGCCCGGCTCCCCCCCTCCCTCTCCCACGCCCCTCCCTTCCCCCTCCCCGCGCCTCTCCCGCACCTCTCCCGATGCCCCTCCCCAGGCCACCTCGAGCTCCACTCCCGCCGCGCCTCCCGCCCCGCCGACCGGGGCGGAGAGCACGACCCCGAGCCGACGGCGGCGGAGGCGCGCCGCATGCTGCTGCAGCTCTTCGACGCCGCAGTGCGGAGGGAGTTTGCGGCCGAGGTGGACGGCGCGGCGCCGCTGCCGCAGCGGGTCGTCGGCGTGGTGCGCGCCTTTGCGGCGCGGCAGGCGGCGCTGACGGCGGGCTGGCTGAGGGTGGGGTACGTGCAGGGCAGCACGCAGCAGCGGAGGAGGACGCGTCACCCCGGCCGCGCCTCGGCTGCACCTCGGCTGCCCCTCGGCCGGTAGGGAACATGAACTCGGACAACATGCTCCTCTCTGGCCGGACGATGGCACCGCAGCCTCTAGATGCACAACGCACGCCCTCCGCCCCTCCGGCAAGCACCCGAGGGGGCCCGCACCCGGCCGCACTCGCCTGCAGCGCTGCCCATGCTCACGGGGCGACTCACCCGTACTCGCCGCCCTCCTCTTCCCTGCGAGGCCCGGAGTGCAGTGCGCGGCACTGCGCCCACGCCCTGACGCTGCGTGTGGCACGCGGCAGGACTACGGCCCCTTTGGCTTCGTCGAGCAGTACGAGCCGCTCTGGTCGCCCTTCACCTCGGACGCAGAGCGAAAGTTCGGGTTCGAGCGACAGCCCGTCGCAGCGCAGGTCGCGGCAAAGAGCCGAGAACTGCCGCCGAGATACCAGCCGAGATGCAGCCGAGATGGCGAGGCTGGGACGGACCCGCTCCGAGCGCGCAGCCCGCGCTGCCCGGTTGGATTGGCCGGATCTGACTCAAACTAGGTCACCGTGCTGACCCTCGCGCGCTTTAATTGATTAATTCATTTAAGTATTAATTAATCAAACTAGGTCAACGTGATGACCCTCGCGCGCGCGCTGCTGCCGCTGCTCTCGCAAGGCGACGATGGCAACGGCGGGGCGGGGCCTCGGCGGCGCCGCAGCGCTGCGGACGTGTCCCGCCCGACGTGCCCGCAACGTGTCCCGTAGGCGGGATGCGACTCGACGAGGCGGCGGTGTCGCAGCTGCAGGCGGGGGGCGAGATGCGGCCGAGAGATGCGGCCGAGAGATGCGGCCGAGATGCGGCCGGGAGATGCGGCCGAGGTGTCCTCTCCCCCCCCGTCCAGGCGGTGGTGGAGGACGAGTACCCGCAGCTGCTGCGCGCGGAGTTGGGCGCCATGCACGCCGCCAAGCTCGGCCTGGCTACTTGGGACCAGGCCAGCCGCCGCCGAGCCGCTCGCTCGCGCGCGCTTGTGACACGTCCGTGACGCAATCACGCCACGACTGGCAGGCCGCCGCCGAGGAGCTGCTCGCGCCGCTCAAGCTGCTGATGGAGCGGAGCCAGCTCGACTACACTCTCTTCTGGAGGCAGCTCTCCCACCTCTCGGACGCCGCCCTCGCCGCCGCCGCCGGCGGGCAGCCCGCCGCCGCGCAAGCTGTGCTCGCGCCCGCTTGCTACGAGGCCGAGGCGATGGCCGAGCGCGAGGGCGAGTGGGCGGCGTGGCTGAAGGCGTACGCCTCGCGCATCGCCGCGGAGGGTGCGGCACGCCCGAGAGCAAGCCGAGAGGAGCTGAGAGGAGAGCAGCCGAGAGGAGCTGAGAGGAGAGCAGCCGAGAGGAGCTGAGAGGAGAGCAGCCGAGAGGAGCTGAGAGGAGAGCAAGCCGAGAGGAGCTGAGAGGAGAGCAGCCGAGAGGAGCTGAGAGGAGAGCAGCCGAGAGGAGCTGAGAGGAGAGCAGCCGAGAGGAGCTGAGAGGAGAGCAGCCGAGAGGAGCTGAGAGGAGAGCAGCCGAGAGGAGCTGAGAGGAGAGCAGCCGAGAGGAGCTGAGAGGAGAGCAGCCGAGAGGAGCTGAGAGGAGAGCAGCCGAGAGGAGCTGAGAGGAGAGCAGCCGAGAGGAGCTGAGAGGAGAGCAGCCGAGAGGAGCTGAGAGGAGAGCAGCCGAGAGGAGCTGAGAGCAGAGCAGCCGAGAGGAGCTGAGAGGAGAGCAGCCGAGAGGAGCTGAGAGGAGAGCAGCCGAGAGGAGCTGAGAGGAGAGCAGCCGAGAGGGGCTGAGAGGACGGCGGAGAGGAGGCCGGGAGGAAGCCGAGAGGAGCTCTCGCCCCGAGGACTTCCCCGCGCCCACTGAGCCTGCGGTGCCGCTGCGAGCAGTCTGCTCACACCTCCACACTTCTCCCTGTGGGCAGGTCGCCCCGCCTCCGAGAGGCAGGCGGAGATGCGACGCGCCTCGCCGAAGCGCGCCGCCTGCCGGGAGGGGACGGGAGGGGGGGGCGGGGGGCGAGCCGCGCCTCCTTCACACCTCGAGCCGTGAACAGGTACATCCCGCGCGAGTGGATGCTCGTCAAGGCGTACGAGGCGGCGGAGCGAGGCAGCGCCCTCCGCCCCCCCACAGAGCTCGGGAGCCGCGCCACTCGAGACTGCACCTCGACCGCACCGCCCGCTGCAGGCGACCAGTCGGTCGTCCACCAGCTGGAGGCGCAGCCCGCGGACCGGGGGGGCGGCACGAGGCACGCTGCTGGCGCACCCGTCACCCCCCCCCCTCCCCTCCCCCCTTCTCAGGAGCTGTTCAGCGCCCCGTACGAGGAGCAGTCCCCCGCCCTGGAGCAGCTCTACTACCGGCGGACACCGGACGAGTTCCGGCGCAAGGCGCCGCACCGCCCTCGCCCCGCTCGCGCTCACGCACGCACGCAAGCACGCACGCAAGCACGCACGCACGCACGCACGCAAGCACGCACGCACGCACGCACACGCGCACGCACGCACGCACGCACATTGACGACACAAGAATGGCTGGTAGTATACTAAGAGCAAGCGCCCGCGGCTCCAGGCGGGCGTCTCTTTCTTCAGCTGATCCTCGTAGGCGCGTGCCACACGCCGGCACGCGCCCCTCCCCCCGGCCGGCGGCCCCTCCCGCAAGGCGGGGCCAGGGCGCACGAGGGCGGTGTGGCGGGGAGGGCGCACGGTGTGCGGAGCGCGCGCAGTGCGCGCGTTTGCGCCGCCGCCGCCGCCCGCACCCGCTCACGCGCCAGCCCCCTGCACCAGCCCCCCGCACCGGCCCCCACGCGCCGCCGCTCGGCCGGGAGTCAGCGCCACGCAGCCACCGCGCGACATGACGCGGCAGGGCACAAAGCCCCCTTCCAGGGCCCTCCCTGCTGCTGAGCTGCCTGTGGCTTCGGCGCTAACCCGCCCCACCACCTCAACCGACCACTGTCGCCCTCCAACCATACTACGAGCTACCCCAGGCTAGTACCAGAAACCACTCTGTCACAAACGCCGCCCTCGAGGCGAGCCTCGACGCTCCGAAGACGCAGACGGCCGGTCTCGTGGCTCTCGCGACACTCCGAGACTCGTAAAAGTCGTATCTGCTCGGGCGTCGGGGCGGGCCTCTCGCTTTGACGTCCCTCTGCGTCTGGGTCCCTGGCTGTGCCTGTGTGCGGCGTGTGTTTCAAAGCCCTGATGTTTTTCTGTTATCTGTTGTGTAATCTCACATAATATCATCTGAAGTGTTTGCACACGGTTTCCGCGTCCCTCGCGGCGCTTGTGTATTTGGAAGAATTGTTGCGGCAAGCACAGGAGGCGCGCACTAGTCACAGGCACGCAGCGGGAGCCGGGAGGCGACAGCACAGTGTCTCACCCGCCACCGGAGAGGGGGGGTGGGGGGGGGGGGTAGAGGCCGGTCTCGCCGCTGCGCACTCCTTCTGAGCCGAAGACAACACACACGCGGCCGTGAGGGCGGCGATCGCCTGCGGGGCAGCCGCCGCCGCCTGCCGCTCCGCGCGCGCAGCGGCGCGCGGCACCCTCCCACCTCACACCCACTCGACGCCAGCCTTGCGTTGCGCAAACCAGCAGCAATAGTAGGGGATGACGGTGCCGAGCGTCCAGACGCTAATGGCGAAGGTGTAGCCCTTCCACTTGTTCTTGGCCCAGTCGGCCTGGAACGTGAAGCACGGGTTGTTGGCGTGCCCGCCGCCGCCCATGCCACCGCCCATCCCGCGCGCGGCGGCGCGCTGGCCGAGCTTGGCAACCGCGGATGTCCTGCGAGGGGAGGGCGGGGGAGGGCGGGGTGGGAGGGGGTGGAGGCGTCGGCCGTGGCGCACGCGCCGTAGTCGCAAAGGCACAGGCAGACGGTGAGAGGCCGAAGCCGGGGGGAAGCACAAAGCAAGAACGGGGAAGGGGCGGGGGAGCGGGGGGGGGGGAGAGTAGCAAGTGCGGGGCGGCCGCGGCAGCGCCGCCGCGCGCGGCTCCCGTTATCGTAGAGAGGGGGGCAGGGGAAAGGGTTCGCCTGGCGAGCATCTCTTGTTCGGCTCTCGGCGAGCAGTACTTCGGCGATAGCGAAAAGAATATTGATGTCGGCAGGTTGTAGGGTGGAAGTGACAAGGGAGAGAACGACGAGAGTGGGACGGCCGCGAGGTGGCATGAAGGTTGCAGCGAGAATCGGCGAGAGACTGCGAAAAGAGATAGGAAGAGGCAGACTCCCTAGGGTGGGCGACGGCTAGCGCATCACACTCCTCTCCTTAAAATCCCTGTGTGGTGGCGGCGTGCCGTCCTCCCATCCCTCCCTTGGGTTGTCTGTTTTCTTTCTTTCTTTTTTTAGGGTGAACCCCCTGCCCAGCCCCCCTCCGTGTCGCGATGCGCTCCCCGCTCCCGTTCCCCTGTGTCCCTGATCGTCCTACAAGATCCTGCTCGTGCAGGTGGGGACCCTGTCCTTCTCCCACCCCTCGTTTGGCGTGTCCGTTGTATTTATTTATTTATTTAGGCTGGTGCTCTCGCCCCCCATGCTCGGGAATGAGTGGCGGCCCACCTAGCTCTGACCTATCGATGAGCGGATACCCACCCAGGTTAGCATTAAAATCCCTGTGTGGTGGCGGCGTGCCGTCCTCCCATGCCTCCCTTGGATTCTCGCTAGCCCTGCCCCGCAGCGCGGCCGCTCGCCAAGCCCCCCAGATGAGTGGTCAGATGGATAGTGCCCGAGAGCTAGGGGTCCGGGGGGGAGCACAAATAGGACGCCCAGCCCTGCCCTCGTGCCGCCGAGTGTGTATCCTATGCGAGAGAGATCCCCGGTGCCCTGTGCCCAGCCCTCTCCGCGCGGCGATGCGCCCTCCCCCTCACTTCCTATGCGAGGGAAGAAGAAATCACACTTCCGGTACAGCTTAGCTGCTCAGGCCGGCCCTCCCTTGGGTTGTCTGTTTTCTTTCTTTCTTCTGCTCAGGCCGGGGGAGGGGGAAAGATCTCCTGTTCCGCGGAACGCGAGCAGGCCCCTCCTTGCCCGGTCTGCGTTGCAGGGCGGTGGTCGTGCCATCGGCGCTTCGTACACGACATGAAATCTCTACAACAAACTCTACATCATAAGCGGCGAACGAGGCACGCGGTCGCTCTCCGACATGAGGCGCGTTGCACTTGCCGGTGCGTGCTGCCCTGGCCTTCTGTCTACCCGCCCAATGAGTGGCAGGTGCCTCTGCTGCACGGTGCTGCTGTGGCATGCCTCACGCGTCACGGCTGCGACTGGCCGGCGCCTCGGCGCGTCAGCTCGGCTCGGCGCAGCGATCGCGGGCCAGCGCAACTCGCCTGGACTCAACGCTCAGCCAGGAGCTCCCGCACGCGCTGGCGCGAGCCATGGCGCATGCAACGCGCAGCAATGCTCGCCTCGCCTCGCGCAAATGCGACCGCCCTCGCAGCCGACAGTCCACCGCCTGCTAAAGAAGCACTGCGACGAATGCGGCACCGCGGCGACGCATGGCAGGCTGGTCATGACGCAGTTATAGGGTGTTGTGTGCCGTCAGAGTGACTCTCTGTGTGTCAGGGATAGTCAGGGCCGTCCACCAGAGCTCCAGTAAGCTCGGAGACACCCCATTAGTGCGGCTCGACCTCTCACTGCCTTCCCGCGGTTTGGCTGTAGAGCCTCTACAACAAACTCTACAGCAAAATCGCGCTCTACCTCTACAACGCACGCAGTTCGTCCCGCGCCGGATGTAGAGCTCTACAGCTCTAGAGCTCTACAGCGCTCCAGAGCGCTCTACAGCTCTACAGCTCTACTTTACAGCGCTCTCACTCTACATCCTCTACAGACTACACCCTCCCTCAGCGCTCTGCCCCCCGACTAAGGCTCATTAAAAAGATTGATTCTCGCCCCTCTAAGTATTGATATTGAGTATTGACAGACTTCCCTCTAAGTATTGACAATATATTGAGGTATTGATCGCTGATTTTCACCTCCAAAAGCATAAAATATCGACATTTGTCCAAAACATTGCCTAGATAGTGGCTGAAATCGACAGACTCGGGAGTTCAAAAGCATTTTGATGCGATCTAAGCGATTTTTCAGCGATTTAGGCCCATTTTGGGCGATTTTAGGGCGTCCGCAAGCTCGGGATGGACGTCTCATCGCTGGATACATCGATATGGTGACCCCCCCTTGACCAGCCCAGCCCCCAGCCCCTCTAAGTATTGACAATATATTGGAGATTGATTGCTCCTCTAAGTATTGGACAAATATATTCCATATTTTTAATGAGCCTTACCCCCGACGGGGGGCAGTGCGCCCCCCGTGCCGCCGGGAGAACCTGCCTGCCCTATGCGAGTGAGAACTCTCTCTCCCTGCGGGGACCCTCCTGAGAGTGTCGTGTGGGTGAACCCTGCCCAGCGCCCCAGTTCCTCCTCCCCGTGTCGCGATGCGCTCCCCACTCCTCGAGCCCCACTCTCGATCCCTTGTTTGTGCCCCTGAGCCCCTGATCGTCCTTCCAAAAGATCCTTGCTCTGGGGGGTTCTGTCTGTCCCTGCTCGTTCGTTTTTCAGTGTATGTAGCTCTTACGTACCTTCCCGGAGGAGGATTCTGCTGACAGGGTTTGCGATGAGCACTTGGAGCACTTGGAGTGCGGTCGGTATCCTCACGCCCAGGACTGGGGAGCTAAGAAGCGCACCCAGTTGGCCAGACGCGTCGGCATCGGGTTGCGGGCAAGGAGAGCCCTAGCCATGGGGGGTGCGCGGTCGCAGGGCCATAACACGGTTCTCCGAGGGATAGTACCGCGCTCCGGGTTTCCCCTAGCAGCAGAACGCACCCTCTACTCGGAGCTAGTGGACACGACACTAGCTAGCTAGTGATACGAGAATACGTACCGCCCCCCCACGCAACTACTCGACGATACTCGAGTAATACGTATACGAGAAGACGCAGCGATGAGGAGCGACCTTTTTCGTTCTGCAAGGGGGGGATCGTCTCCCATCCCTCATTTGGCACTTTATTTCATTGGTTTTCTCTCTGTAAGAAAGAAAGAAAGAAAACAGACAACCCAAGGGAGGGATTTTCTCTCTGTCTCTCTGTCAGCGAGGATCAGGGAATTCTCTTTTCTCCAGCGCCCGCCGGCCGGGAATGCAGGCCCAGCCTTTACCGCCGGCCTGGCTCGCCGCGGGTTTCACCGACAAAGTCCAGAGAGTCGATGAATCCGTGCACCGGCGAGGCACAGGCCGTCGCAGTCAAACTCCCGTCAACGCCTCGTGCGCGCCATGGCTGCTCGAGTACGCTGCGTTCCACGCCGAGCATCGCCACCGACCCGACTCCTCCTACCTTGTCTACACCTGCCGGCCGGTGATGCCACAAACCAACTCGCACTGCCTCGGCTTTGGTGCGCTGGAGGGAGGGAGGGAGGGAGGGAGGGAGGGAGGGAGAGGGAGAGAGAGAGAGAGAGAGAGAGAGAGAGAGAGAGAGAGAGAGAGCGAGAGAGAGAGAGAGAGAGCGAGAGCGAGAGCGAAGAGCGAGAGCGAGAGCACGGCCCCTGGCAGGCGACCGCTTCCGGCTGATTGCATACCTGCTGCGGACCGCCGCGCACCACCGCCGCGTGCTGCTCGTCGACTGGGCCTCGCCGCACGACCTCTCTCTCTTCTTCTCGCCGCCGCCGCTGCTCGGGGCTAGCAGCGCTCCTGCCGGCCGAGGAGCCGGCCGAAGAGGAGGCACGGCCATCGACTGGCGGATCACGCGTGCAGAGGCGCCCGATCCGCTGTAGTGAGACGGATCGAGATCGCCTTCCGCGTGCACCCGCCCGCACACGCCCCGTGCTTTGCGAGCCTCAGGCGGCGGCGCTGGACGGGCTGAAGGTCCACCGGTGGGGCGGGTGAGTCTCCAGAGACGCCCGCGAGGCCACTCCCGCCCCCACTCCGGGCGGCGAGACGCACGCTCGAGGGGCACCCGAGAGAGCGGCGGAGCTAGGAGGAGGCGCAGCGGGCTGAGCGATCGGCGGCTCCTCCTCGCGCCCCGCAGGCCGATGAGCGCCGACGCGATGCCCTCCGCCCGGTGGGTGCGCGTGGTTGGCAACACTCCGTGGATGAGCGCAGTCGGGCTCAACGCCACCCTCCCCGCCGAAAAGGGAGGCGATGGCACGGCCGGCCCGCCCCGCCGCCGGCCGCCGCCGCGGCCCGTTTTCCCTCCCGGGCAGGGCAGCTCCGCAGCCCCGACCCTCGGCTGCCTGCTGCGCGCGCTCTTCGCTCCGTCGGCCTGGCTCGCGGCGGCGGTGGAGGCGCGGCGGAGGGAGCTCTTTGGTGACTCGCCCTTCGAGGGCGTCCACCTCCGCCTCGGTGCGGGACGACCCAGATGTGGCCGAGAGATGCGGCCGGGAGATGCGGCCGGGAGATGTGGCCGAGGTTGACTGTTCGAGGCTGGGCATTCGTCGCCGAGACCCGGCCGACTCGAGGGCCCGTCGCGCCCCGCATCCACCCCTCCCCTCCCCCGCCCAGGCGACGGCGCCGCTGGCACCGCCTTTCGGCCCGGCACCGTGCCCACCACCGACAGGCGCATGACCGTTGACGGCGCCGTCAGCGTGATGCGATGCCTCGCCTCCGCCGGCAGCTCTCCCGTCTTCGTCGCGACCGACAACGCGCGGCTCAAGGCGGCGATCCTCGCAGGCAAGCGCGGCGGCGGCGGCGGAGGCGGGAGCGGCGGCGAAGAGGTGGCGCTGAGACGGAGCGGCGGCGGCGGGCTGGTGCTTCCGCCGGCGCTCGCTGGCCGCTTCCGGGCGCAGGGGTGCGCGGATTGCATGGTCGCCGACGATCCGGCAAGGTCGCGTAGAGCAGGGGCATGCTCGGGACGAGTGTGCCACCGCCGCCATAGGTCAACCCGGTGTTCCAGCACAACTTCACGCGCGAGAGCGTGCAGGACATCTTCGTCGAGATGGCGCGAGATGCAGCCGAGAGTCGAGATCCGGGCCCAGACCACCCCTCCTCCACCCCGTCCGGACCCCGTATCGCCTCGTGCCCGCAGGTGATGCTTGCCCACTCGCGCTGCTTCCACCACGCCAGTTCCAATTTTGCCACCACTGTACTCGCGTTCGCGCCGCCGGGCGCCTGCCACGGGCACTATGTCGCCGGGAGGTGCGGTAGGTGCGAGTGCTCGACCTCCTAGACGCTAGAGTCGCTTCACACTTGGTGAGTCGCTCTAAAAGGAGCGACTGTCCCAAAAGTAAAAGAAAACACACAGCACCTCACGACCCAGAGGCGAAAATTCTTTTCCGGTGTGCCTGTGATAGTACTACATGTAGCACGCGCCAGTTTGCACCTGTGTCGAGCCTGTCTGCTGTGAGAAAGAGTCCACTTCTAATTCTTTTCCGGAAATCGGCCTTTATGGCTCGCACGAGCGACAAGCCGGACGCTGAGCTGGTTGGGCTTGTGAATGGCGCCACGGCGGAGGCGGCCGAGGCGCTCGTCTCCAAGCTGACACTGCGCGAGAAGGCCTCGCTCTGCTCCGGCGCCTCCTTCTGGAACCTGCAGTCGATCAAGCGGCTCGGGCTGACGGGCCCCAACGTCTCGGATGGCCCGCACGGCGTGCGTCGCGACCTCGGCTCCTCACACCTCGGGCTGGACGGCTCGGCGCCAGCGACGTGCTTCCCGTGCGCTTGCACGCTCGCATCCTCGTGGGACCCGACGCTGGCAATGCTGGTGGGCGAGGCGCTCGGGCGCGAGTGCCTCGCGCTGGGCGTGAGCGTGCTGCTCGGCCCGGGCGTCAACATCAAGCGCCACCCGCTCTGCGGCCGGAACTTCGAGTACTTTTCCGAGGACCCGCTGCTCGCGGGCGAGTTTGCGGCGAGTTTTGTCAAGGGCGTGCAGAGTCAGGGGGTGGGCACGTCGATCAAGCACTTTGCGGCCAACAACCAGGAGGCCAACCGCATGACGATCGACACGCAGGTCGACGAGCGCACGCTGCGGGAGATCTATCTGCCCGCCTTTGAGGCGGCCGTCACGCGCTCGCAGCCGTGGACAGTCATGTGCGCCTACAACAGGCTCAACGGCCAGCAATGCTCGGAGCACGACTGGCTGAACAACACGCTGCTGCGGGGCGAGTGGGGCTTCGAGGGGCTCCTCCTCACGGACTGGGGCGCGATCGCCAACCGCGTCAAGGGCCTCCTCGCCGGCATCGACCTCGAGATGCCCTCGTCGGCCGGCGTCAACGACGCGCGGATAGCGGCGGCCGTGCGGTCGGGCGCGCTGGAGGAGGGCGTGCTGGACCGCGCGGCGGCGCGGGTGGTGTCGCTGTACCTGAAGAGCGACGCGGCCAAGGCGGCGCACGCCTCCAAGGAGGAGGGCAAGGAGATGCACGCGCGCCACCACGCGCTCGCGCGCCGCGCCGCCGCCGAGTCGGCGGTCTTGCTCAAGAACGACGGGCAGCTGCTGCCGCTCGGGGCGGGCAGCGGGCGGGTGGCGCTCATCGGCGGGTTCGCGACGGCGCCGCGGTACCAGGGCTCGGGCTCCTCGAAGGTCAACTCGCACACTCTCGACCGACCGCTCGACGCGCTCCGAGCCGCCGTCGAGGGCGGTGGCGGCGCGCCCCTCCGGCCGCGCGCCTGCAGCGCCTCCTCACCGGGGGCTGGGCGTGCAGACGGGTGCCCGGGCGGGAGCCGTAGGCGCGCTGGTGTACGCGGCGGGGTACGAGCCGGGGCACGCGGCGCTCGACGACGCGCTCATCGACGAGGCGGTGGCGGCGGCGAGCGGCGCGGACGCGGCGATCATCCTCGCCGGCGCGCCTGCAGAGAGGCGGAGGATGGAGGCGGAGGGGCGGTGGACGGCGCCTCTTCACGGCCGTGGGGTGTGAACAGGCTTGCCGGACGAGTTCGAGTCGGAGGGGTTCGACCGGAGCCACATGCGCCTCCCCGAGCAGATGGACCGCCTCATCGCCGCGGTGGCAGCCGCCCAGCCGCGCTGCGTCGTCGTGCTCTCCAATGGGTCGCCGGTGCTGATGCCGTGGCTTGGCGGCGTGCCGGCGGCGCGCGAGCCGCGCGTCCGTCCGGCGGCGGGGGGTGCGCCGCGCCCCCTTCACACGCCGTGCGGTGCGAGCAGGTGCTCGAGACCTACCTCTCGGGCCAGGCAGGCGCCCTCGCCCTCGCCGACCTGCTCTTCGGCGCGGCGTGCCCGTCCGGCGAGCCTCGCGCCTCGCCCTCGACCCTGCCGAGGGCCGCGCCTCCTTCACGACTCGAGGTCTGAGCAGGCAAGCTCGCCGAAACCTTCCCCGCCGCGGCCGAGGATTGCGCGTCGCACGCGCACTTCGCCTCGAACCCACGCCGACTCGTCTACCGCGAGGGACTGCATGTCGGCTACCGCCACTTCCTCACGCAAGGCGTGCAGCCCGTCTTCCCGTTCGGCCACGGCCTCTCGTACACCTCGTTCGAGTACGGGCCGCTCTCGCCGTCCGAGAGTGCGATCGCTATCTCCGACCCAGCCGCCGCGTCGGTGTGCAGTCCTCCTCCCACCTCTCTCCCTCCCTCTCCCTCCCTCTCTCCCTCCCTCCCTCCCTCCCTCTCTCCCTCCCTCCCTCCCTTTTTCCCTTTTTCCCTCTCTCCCTTTCTCCCTTTTTCCCTTTTTCCCTTTTTCCGCTTTTTCCCTTTTTCCCTTTTTCCCTTTTTTTCCTGCCCGACCCCCCCCCCCCCCTCCTTTACCATCCAGGCGGCGCCGGCTGCGTGGTTCTGCCCGATTGGCTGCTGCGAGGGCTACTCTGTTGCTTCAACACCTGCCCCTTCTAGTTTTGTGAGCGCGACGTACGAGACGAAGATGCCGGTGAGGTGGGGTGTGCGCGGTTGGTCTCTTACGAGCGGCATGAAGGGGGGGGGGGGGGGTGATGGGACTTGCGTTGGGACTTTCCCTTGATCCTTGGTTCAGACCGCACAGAGGCTCTACTAAAAAAAGGTGGGCGTACTTTTTGTGCGTATTTCGCTATGTTGTTGTTCACCGCCGGCAATAAAACGCAACCCGGGCCAAGGTCGCATGCACGCATCACGCGGATCACAGTCGTGAGAGGTGAAGCGAGAACGGACAGAGACAGACACTCTCTGGTCTCTGGTGACAGAGACACTGCCTCGAGCTCGTGCGTCCTTGGAACCTTGTCACATGTCAGCGACGCCGGTTCTCGACGAATTCAACGAAGCTCGACGCACTACAACTTGTATTCTTAAAGTGAAAACGCGAGAGATTTCGTTTGCCGACAAGGAGGAGCGCAAAGCCGACGGCCGAGAATGATGAGGGGGATTGCTAAAACATGCACATGTGATGGTCAAATTGACGCCGGCCGAAACGTCCGTCCAAGCCTGCAATGAGAGCCAGCCTCGCCGCGTCGATTGTGGCCGCGGCGGTCGCCTCCTCGGTCGGCGAGGCGCCAGTGCCCGCCGAGAAAGGCTTCATGGAGATGTTGGGGTTCGGCAGCGAGCCCCTGGATCCGGTGACGGAGGGTCTCTTCGTGGCTGCGCGCGATCTGGATCCGCACGAAATGTGCCAGGAGACAAAAGAGTCTGGCCGCCGCTACTACGAGATTATGTTTTCCAACGAGGGGCAGTGCACTGCAATGAGCACGTGGGCGCACACGGCGGAGAAGGAGCAGGTCGGCTCTGAGGCGAGCATTGCGCCAACGTGTGAGTTGAGCCACCAGGAACAGACGGGCAAGACAGGCTTCCTCACCTATTCGTGCTGCAGAACATGCACTGTGAGTACGCCTCTGACTCTTGCCTTCATATCAATCACATAGGCTTCCTCATCTACTTCCACTCCAAGTATCAGTGCGACGCGATGGCGAAGTGGGCGCAACATGCGGAGATGGAGGCGACGGGTGAGTCGGTGAAGCCCCGATGCGAGCGAGTTGGCGGCGCCAGCGCCGGAGTCAAGGATAAATTCCTGAAGTACCCTGGGTGAGGTTGCCGCCTTGCTTTCTCTCGACACGTCTCTCCTTGCACGGGTGCCCCTCCCCTTCTGCTACCCTTGACGGTTCATCACCCGGCCGTACCAGGTACATAATTGAGTTCAATACCAAAAACCAGTGCATGGAGATGTCGCGATGGGCTATCGGCGCGGAGATCCTGGACGAGTCGATGGAGAAGTCCAAGGCTTCGGAGGCGGCCGTCGCCCGTACACTGGCGAAGATGAATGTGGCTCACGAGGTAGCCACGCTCGACATCACAGCCGATCTGTACGCTGCGGCCGAGCGCGACTTGAATCCGCACGAGATGTGCCAGGAGAGCCTGGCAAAGACGGGGAGCCGGTACTACGAGCTGCTGTTTCCCAGAGAGGGCCAGTGCACCGCAATGGCGGAGTGGGCCCACGATGCCGAGGTCGCGAGTGTTGTGGCGGCGGGCGGGAGTGTGGGGCAGGCGGGCCCTGCGCCGGTGTGCGAGCTGACTGCAACGGAGGGCGTTGCAGGGAAGCCGCCGGCCAAGGGGTTCGCAATCTACTTTCACACGAAGAGTGGCTGCGACAAGATGGCCAAGTGGGCCAGTCAGGAAGAGCAAGCGGACACGGGTCACTCTGAGGCGCTCGCGTGCGACGGGATGTGCCCGGCGGATATCATACTTCCGTGAAGCTTCTTGAAGTTGCCATATAGGTGCCGACCTGCCAAAGGACTTACCCCCCGACGTTTCCGGGCTATGTGGTCGAGTTGCGCACCGAGAGGCAGTGCTTGTCGATGGCCACTTGGGCGCTCCACGCGGAGACGATGGGTACTGCGGCAAAGCGCGCGGCGGAGTTCCTGGTCGACGAGGAGGTCGAAGTCGTAGAGGAGATGCCGTCCGATATCTGCTCGGCGGTCGCTGCTTGCGAGACTGAGGGCGGCGGCGGCTGGCCCTTCTTCCTCAGCCAGGAGAGTCGCGCGGCCCGGAACGGCGCTGGTGGCACGGGTCTCCCGGTGATGATGGCGGTGACCGTGGCCAGCTTGGCGGTGGCGATCGCCGCCCTCGTCAAGATGAACAGGCTCGAGCATCGGCTCGCGCCGCTCCTGCAGGACGCCGCCCAGGCGCCAGCCTCGCAGCTCATGTAAGAGGGACTACATGGCGCTCGGCTGGGGGAGGGTTGGCGGATATGGGCACCATGGTTGCCGCGGCCCAACGGAGCCCGGGGGCGCGTTGCCGTTGGGCGCGACACAGCACACAACGCGAAGGCGGAAGGGTCAGCATTGCTATTGGTGACACCGGGGAGGTGGTTGCGGAGGGAGAGGAGAGAGTATCGTCTTTGTATCGATGGTCCGAACGAGAACGAAATTACGAACACAAATGACATTCTCCAAGACCCCCAAGAGCAAGACTCTTATGACTCTTCCACAAGACGTCAAGTTTTGCCGATGGAGAAATTTTGCAACTTTGGGGGGCGGGCGTTGCCGGGCGCACTCGGGATCTCGGACAGATTTACGAGACTCGAGACTTCGAGACACACACGGCCGCCGCGCGGGCTGTACGGCGAGACACACACAGAGAGCCGCCCCCACAACACGCATAACGCGCACGCACAAGTTCTAGGCACAAGCCAGTGCCCACACCGGCTCCGGCTCAGGTCGTGGGGCATAGCTCGGGTGTAAACGGGGTCTGGGGCGGAGGCCCCAGCGGCCCGCCGCAGGCGCCGCCGGAGGCTGGCCCGCCGCAGGCGCCGATTTTTTTGGCGTTTTTTGCTCAAAATTGAGATATTTCTCATCAAATTCTCATCAAAATCGAGCTCGCTACGAGCTCTCTAACTGCACAGCATCTCCTCGTTGAGCCTAGCGGCGCCCGTATCGCCCACGTCCACATTCTTCTTCTTCTTCTTGCCCTTCTTGCCCTCGGCCCTTGCTGCACTTAGCCGCTCAACCTCCGCCAGCAGCAGCTCCTTGGCATGCCGCGCCGCCTCCATCTGCTTTGCCTCCCACGCTGCCGCTTCCTCTAAAGCAGCGCCGCCACTAAGCGGCGCAACCAAGTTCTCGCATTGTTTGCATGAGCACGTGTCCTGCTTGGCGCGGCGCACAATCCGCGCGCGGCGAGTGAGGTGCGTGAGAGCAGAAGACTGACAGCAGGAGCTGCAGGAGCTGCGCAGGTCGGATGGGCGGTGACGCCGTCGAGCCACGGCGCAAAGGCCAATCGCTGCTGCTGCGCCAACGAGCGGCGACACGAGGCTGCTGGCAGCTGGCAGAGCGAATCGCGATTCCGGCGGCTGCCGTCAGCCCGCCGACACCGACGGCCTGGCTGAGGTCAAACTCCTCCACACGTCGGACCAGCCATGCGTCGGCCACGGCGACGAGACGTCTGCGTGCAAACAGCCCACCACCCGGACGATTGAACATGCCAGCTGGGCTCTACCAGGGCTCTCGTGGCCCGTGGCGCGAAACCCAGGTGAAACAGGCGGGCTGCGGCGGGCGCATAAACTATTCACAGCTAATGAAAACTATTTAAACTCGCGGCTTCATCAAAGTTTGAGGTGTCTTCGTCCTCAGGACCATCAAGACAGCTCTATTCACACCCTATTTGGTTTGAAGACACTCGGGGATGCCCGTTTACACCCAATCGACAAGTCGCTGGGCCCTCTGACCTGAGCTGGAGCCACCAAGAGAGCGCTCTCGGGCCATCTTGTTGTGTAAACGAATAGTAAAATGACTACGCTCACACGCGCCGCCTCACTAGCGGCCACCCTCGCGCGCGACGCCCTGAGGCGAGCTGTTTGTCCACCTTTCCTCGGGGATTGAGAGAGCAACCGCGGCGCTCACGCATAGCAGCAACGCCGTCGAGTAGAACGGCAAGCCAAGGACGCCCCGCGCCGAGCCAAACGCGAACAGCCAAGCATACAGCGACGGCGCGATGACCTTGATGACGGCGTTGAGCGTGTTGCGCTCGGCGGCGAGCTGCCCCTGCGGCACGCCCAGCTCCTCGCCTAGCCGCAGAGTCCGCGCAGAGTCAGGGGGGAGGGCTCGTTGAGCGGAGGGCTCCGGGTCGCCAAGCCGCTCGCCCAGGTTGGTGATGCGCGCCGACGTCGCCTGCCCCTTGCCCGCGCCGAGCGCGAGCGGGACGATGGCGCCAAAGGCGATCGGGTCCGAGGTTGCGCGGCCGAGCAGGAGCGATGCGCACGCCGACGCGCCCGTGCTCGCCGCAGTGTGTCCGCGCGCTCCGAGCCGCCGGATGGACGGCCCGGTGAGCAGGGTGCCGAGCATCGAGGCGAAGCCGGCGGCGGCGGCGTACCGGCCGCACTGGGCGGCGCCCCAGCCTCGCAGCTCGCGCGCGAGGACCTGCCACAGGTCGCCCATCCCGTTGGTGAGCGACTGGCAGACGACGACGAGGTTGAGCTTCGCGCTGAGCAGGCCCCGCCGGAAGAGGGCGAGCGAGGAGAGGGGGGAGCTCCCGCGCCACGCGAACCGGACGCGGCGGGCTTCGGCGAGCGTCTCGCGGAAGCCAAAGGCGACGCAGCCGAGGACGGCGGCGCCGAGCGTGCAGGAGCAGGCGTAAGCGTACCGGATGTCGCGCTGCGCCAGAGGGCCGCCCACGAGGCTCGAGACGGCGTACCCGAGGCCCATCGCCGCCTGGATGCGGCTGCCAACCACGGCGAGCTGGGTCGCGTTGTGCCCAAAGCAGTCGGCCATCAACGCCTGGTAAGCGAGCCAATACACAGGCACGGCGAGCGTGGAGGCGACCCGGGCGGCGATGAGCGTCGGAAGTGTCGGCGAGCAGATGACTGTCGATCGTGCGATGGCGGTCATCGCCGGCGCCGCGAGCAGGATGGGCTTCCGGCCGATGGCGTCCGCCAGCTTTCCGAACCCGCCGCTGAGCAGCACCTCCGCCAGAGCCGAGGCGGAGCCGAGCTGGCCCAACAGCTGCGCCACTTCACGCGGCGAGAGGCCCGAGGAGCGCAGCGCAGGAGGGAGAGCCGTGCCGATGACGCCAAAGCACGCGGACTGCAGCCCGGCCGTGAGACAAAGGAGCCACATCTGGGGCGGCTGCGCCACCGCCGGACGATCGTCTCGAGCGGCGAGCAAGACGCAGCTCCGGGACCGTGCAGTCGGCATGAACCGTGAGCGATGGAGCAGGCGCGTGTCAACGGCAGATGCTGCACACGGCCCACACGCGGCGAGCAGTAGCATCATATGAGGCGAGCGTTGAGTGCAGGCTGGCCGACCTTGCGGCGGCGGGGGGGCGGCGGCACGGCGGGTGAGCTTCAGCGTACAAAAAAGAATTAGGAACGCGCAGGCACGGGACTGCGAAGGGAGATAGAAAGAGGCAGACGACCAAGGGTTAGGGTGGGCGACGGCTAGCACCACACTCTCTCCTTAAAATCCCTGTGTGGTGGCGGCGTGCCCCGTGCCGTCCTCCCATCCCTCCCTTGGCGCTTGGGTTGTCTGTTTTCTGTCTTTCTTTCTTTCGGGACTGGCGCGCACTGGCACTAACACAGGTACACCTGACCAAAAAACCCAGCGCCGCCCTGTCGTGGACGTGCTCCCATCTCGCCGGAGCCTCCGCCGGAGCGCCGGAGGCATCGCGCCGAAAACGGAAAACCCCGCGCATTCCACCCCAACGGATGTTGCGCAGGAGGCAGATGGACAATAAACATGGGTGGTTCATGCTTTCTTTCTTTTGGTTTTAACCTTTTCTGCCCACCGATCGGCTCTTTTGGTGTTTTGGGTTTTGCCGATGCGATGAGCGCTTGCCGGGCGTGCCGCTGGACGACGTGGACCTGTGTGGAGCGACTCAGCGACAGCGGGAGTGGAGAGAGAATTCACAAGTTAGCGATGTGTCCGCATCGACATCGTACAACGGCGAGGGGAGAGTGCCGACTGGCACCAGCATTCTTAAATTAAGAGGAGCGCGAACGCTGTCGCTGTCTGCACACAAGCACGGACGCCTCCGATACGAAATGCACGTAGGAATATGGTGGACAGCCTGCTGGGGAGTTCTCTCTGTGGGACCTGGGTGTGGCGATGGCCCGCGCTCTGTCTGGCCGACACCGACGATCTAGTTGAACTGCTTCGCAATCAGGTCGTACCGCGGGACCGAGGTCGTGTCGCCGTAGACGGCGACGGAGGGCGGCGAGGAGGTGATCTTTTTCGTGACGTTTGCGAGGTCGGCGGCGGTCACCTGGGCGGGGTGGGCGGGGTGGTCACCCGAAGCCGCTCGCGGCCGTGTTCTCCACCGAGTCACCATCCTCAACGCGAGCCAGGTGGTGGTGGCAGTTTGGGGGGAGTGGGGGGGCAAGCGGGATGGCGAGTCGGTGGCGGTTTGCGTGTCGGGGGGTCCCGGCTCGCCTTGTCGATGCGGTCGACGAGCTCGAGCGGCGGGGTGTGCGCGCCGTAGGTGAGGAGCTGGCGGCCGATGTCCTCAAGCAGGATTGGCCGTGACTCGAGGTTCATGAGCAGCGACGACTTGAGCTGGTTCTTGGCGCGGCCGAGCTCCTCGGCAGAGATGTCGGAGCCCATCTTGTTGGCCTGGTCGCAGATGACGGCGACGAGCTGGCCCATTGCCTCGGGCGTGGTGGCGCCGTAGATGCCAAAGATGCCGGTGTCGTTGTAGAACGAGTTGAAGACGGACGCCGCCGTCACAAAGGCGTGCTGGTTGAGGATGTTTGTGAAGAGGCGCGTGTACATGCCCTTGCCGGGGCCGCCCGCCGAGAAGGAGGTGCCGCCGCCCATCATCGTGTTGAGGACGCAGAGCGGGACCAGCTCATCCGCCTTCCAGCCGCACCCGTGGAAGGCCAGCGAGAAGTGCGTCATCTCGTCCGCCGGCTGCGCCGACTCGCGCACCTCGCCGCCGACGTACGAAAACGGGAGCGACGTCTGCGGCGTGCCCGACGGCAGGTGGCCGAAGGAGGCCTCGGCGAGCGAGACGAGCTCCTCGTGCTCGTACCCCGCGGCGGAGAGCACCATCCGGCAGGGCACGTACTGCTCGGCCACGAACTTGCCCAGCACCTCGGGCGAGAGGTGCGGCAAGAAGCGGCCGCCGGCGAGCGGCGTGCCGAGCGGCGACTGGGCCCCGTACGCCGCGGTGTGAGACAGCTCCTGCAGCAGCATCTGCGGGTTGTTGCCCATGTCGTCCAGCTCGAGCTTGACCGCCACCTTCTCCTCCTCCACCTCCCACGGCAGGAACTTGGGGCGCAGCACCGTGTCGGCCAGCAGCTCGACCGCCTCAGGCACCGACTCCTTGAGGGTGTCGACCTGGTACACCATCGACTCGCGCCCCGCCACCGCGCTCAGCTGCGCGCCCATCAGCTCCGCCGCACGCACAACCTTGAGGTGCGAAAAGTTTTCCGACGTCTTGAAGGCCATGTGCTGCAGCATGTGTGAGGTGCCTGGCACGGCGTCGTACTGCGAGCCGGTGTCGATGAAGAGACCGAGCGAGGTGGAGGGCATCGTCATGTCAGCCGAGGCGACGCGCAAGCCGTTGCTCAGCGTCGTCACCTGCGGCGCAGCGGAGGGCCGCGCGCTCTGCTGGCGGAGGCCTTGCCAGCGGACGCAGAGAGAGGATTGCGCGCCTTTGTCGCCGTCGGGCTCTCAAACACGGGCGTCGAGCACGTCAGCTCCATCGGGATGGTCAGGTCGGGCTCCGTCTGCGGCGCCGCACCCCAGATCTGCCGCGCACGCGCCGGCCCCTGGAGGGCGAGCCTGCGCACAGAGGACAAGCCTTCATTCAGCGTGACGGCGGCACGCTGACACACTCAGCTCCCACGGCGAGCGGCGTGCAGTGGGCGGGCTCGGCGCAGCCCTGGCGGCGTGGGTGGTGTGTTAAGGCGGCGACTGCCTGCCAGTTCGCGCGAGTCGAGACATTCTGCTGCCTTTATTGTCAGGCGCGCTGCGCGAGAGATTTACAAGAAAACTTGTCGCGGGCTGGCACTAACACGTTCTCCCATCCCTCCCTTGGGTTGTCTGTTTTCTTTCTTTCTTTCTTTTACAGGGTGGGTTGTCTGTTTTCTTTCTTTTTTCCTTTCAGGTACACCACGAATAAAGAGAATTTCGGGCGCGCGGGGTCTGGTAAAGCCTTGGGTTCGAAGAGAAAGTGGACCTGAGCAACGATATGACTTGGCGGCGGCAAATGATCGCAGCTTGCGCGAGAAAGAGAGAGGAGAGCTTGATAAACTCGAGGGGCCAAAATATGCCGCGAGGAGGGCAGAGTTGCGTCGAAAGGTGGGAGAAGCCGCGAGAGCAAGGGATTGGCAGGCGGCGGCGGCGTCGCAGGACGAGGCAGACGAGAGCGACGCGACAGAGGCGGCAGGAGGGAGAACGACGAGACCAGAGTGGGACGACCGCGAGGTGGCATGAAGGTTGCAGCGAGAATCGGCGAGGGACTGCGAAGGGAGATAGAAAGAGGCAGACGACCAAGCTCCAAGGGTTAGGGTGGGCGACGGCTAGCACCACACTCCTCTCCTTAAAATCCCTGTGTGGTGGCGGCGTGCCGTCCTCCCATCCCTCCCTTGCGCCTTGGGTTGTCTGTTTTCTTTCTTTCTTAAAGCCTGGGCGACGGCTAGCGCATCACACCCCTCTCCTTAAAATCCCTGTGCGGTGGCGGCGTCTCGAGGGCGGCGTGCCGTCCTCCCATCCCTCCCTTGAATTGTCTGTTTTCTTTCTTTTTTTAAGCCTGTCCGAGAGAGAGAGATTTTTGAAAACCAACAAGAAATCACGACTCTCACAGTGATTTGGGCTCGGCAGCTTGTCAGCCCTCAGCCGAACGAAGCTGGGGCCGGTCCCGTAGCCGAGAGAGCCCGCGTCGATGAGTTCGACACGGTCAGGAGAGGCCTTGCGAAGAGGCCAGCGAGTTGGCGATCGCGTACTTCATGGTCGTCATCAAGTGACCGGCTGACAAGCCAGAGGTCGATACTCTGGACGAGAGGCAGACTCAGCTGCTCTCGGGTGATCTATCTCGCTCCCCCCCCCCCCCTTCGGTTGATGGTTTTCTGTTTACTTTTAGCTTACTATTCCCGGAGGAGGGCTGTTACGTACGGGTTTACGATTCATAGAAAGAAGATCAAGAAGAGGAAGTTTTCAAAAAAATGACTCTCTCACCATGGCTGGCGGAGAGTCGGGCAGATGTCGCCAAGGGAAGGGGACCACGGGCAAACATAAGAACGGGACGCGGCACGGACCAAGGTGCGTTGGGGACGGAATCACAAGATACGACCTCAATCTCCTACATTTTACACACACATTTTATTGGAAAGGCGACGCGCGGTTTGCTTCGCCATCGCAACGGGGACGACCGAGCTCTTGCTGCCCTCCTCGATGCGATGATATTCCTCCTTCTCCACCTCGGCCCGCTCGCCTGGCCGAGTCCGGGCGCGGGTGGTGCGTCGGCCAACGCCAGGCGGCCGACAACGCCCTGCCCGAGCGCCAAGCTTTGGCTGCCGCCCGCACACCCAATCCCCGCCGGCGATCTAGAGCGCGCACGCGCCACCAAGCCTGCTGCCGGCTCGCCATTGCTTGCTCCTGCCGCGACCCTCGTGAGCGCAACCCTGAACACCTGGATGCGAAGAAACTTGCCTGCCTCCTCCTTGCGCCCATGCTCTGACTTTGGAACCGAAGGCATTGATTCAGTCCTGACAGCACTGATCGACGCGGCACACCCCGAACTGGACGCGCTGTACCGCTCCCGTCGCGACAGACGCATGCTGAGGCAACGCAGTCTCGCCGCGTTTCGAGCCGAGTGGCGCTTTGAGCGGAGTGTCATTACCAATGCCAGCCTGCACCTGCGACCGATACTCGAAGAGCAATCCCGGCATTCAAAGTGCTACGAGGCGATTAACATCTTCCACCACCTCCTGACGAACCAGACCAAGTCGGCCGCGCTGGCCGCGGGCGTGGTGCTGCCGCTGCTGCCAGACGACAAGCAACGGCTGAGGCACCTTCGGCGCCTGCAGGCACTGCCTCTGAGGACGGGGCCGATGGGGAAGCCGCTCGGGTGGCACGGCGCTCCCAAATACCTGAGCTCAGCGGCGGCGCGCGCCGCTGCCGAGGCCACCAACACGTCAGAGTACAGCCAGGAATGCCCGTCTAACTGGTACCCCTCCGACTGGGACCTCGACCCCACCTTCTGGGAAGGCACGGAATGGGAGGGGTCTGCCAAGCCTGGCTTCCCTTTGCCCGAGTACCCATGCAAGCAAAGGTTTGCCGGGGAGATCGCGGGATCGTTTATGCCCCGGGTGTACCAAGAGCGATCACCCTGCATGATGGCGCACATTCCGTACAGCTTCCCCGAAAGCCAACCGGGAGAGTTCAGCGAGACGTTCCAGGAAGACGCTCATCGAGACGCCCAACACATCTTCGAGAAAGACGACTCGTTCGTGGACGATGCCGGATACGTGGACGGGGCCCGCTGCTTGGAGGAGAGCGTGTGCAGTGGAGGTGACGTCAACTACAGGATCAGGGCAGTCGTGCGCAAGATTAAGGTGCCAGGCTCCAAGAAGATCCAGTTCTCGACAGATCCCGATGCAAATGTCCCAGACCGACACATCAGCACCAGCGACGTCTATTTTCACACGCGCACGTTTGAGGCGATGCCCGGTGGCAACTCGCCCTTTGGTAGCGCCAAGTATGGTGGTGATGGAACTGAAGGCCTGCCCGGGCCAGCGCTGGAAGTGCTGCCGGGGCAGACCATCAACATCCTCGTGCGGAACGAACTTGGCGATGCTGACACGGCACTCAACGCCTCGTTCGAGGGCATCATCGAGGCAACGTGGAAGCGGATTCAGCTCCTGAACAAGCCCCACCCGAACGGAAGCGCCCTTGACGGCATGGGCTTTGGCAGCGTGTTGTACACCGGGCCTGATCTGGGGAGGCCGGTGATGACGGGCGATGCGGTCCCGACGGCAGATGAGATGAAATTCAACGAGCAAAATACTCCGGGACAAGACACGAACGGCTTCAACGTCTTCAACATCCATACACATGGCCTAGAGGTTCAGCCACACCTCTTTCACCCAATGGGGACCACCAATCCCGATGCGCCATGGATTGGAATCGAGCCCGACATCATGAACAGATCGAGACAATGCTACTGCTACCGACTGACAGTTGCAGAGTCGCAGAGCCCAGGACTGTTCCTGTACCATGTGCACCGCCACGGCACATCCTCCATGCTCACGTGGGCGGGCATGTATGGCCTGATTCGCGTGGGCGAGCACCAAACGCCTGGCACCTCGTCTCTGCTCGACGACGTGAAGCACATGGCCGACAAAGAAGGCCTCGCCTTCGATGAGAGTGACGTGCTACCCGTCCTCGCCGCTGATACTCTTTGGCGCTATGCATCTGTCCCGTGGGGCCCGAGCCAGCTCAATGGAGATATGTCCAAGATTCCAGCAGAAGACTCGCCAGATGCTGCGACGGTAATTTTGACCGACTGGTACCCCAACGTGCGCTACACCGGGATTCTTCATCCATGGCTTGTCAACGGCGATTTCAGGCCTACCTTACATGCGCGGACGCAGGCACTGACTCTGCTGCGGCTTGCATGCATCTCCGCAAGCAAGGTGTGGTGATGAGAAGAGACTGTTAGATGCCCGCCCTTTTGCCACACGGACTGACCAACCCTGTGGTGCCCTCCGGTTGGCAGCTTTGCACCTTCATGATCAAGAGAGTTGCAACAGACTCCTCCACGACGCTCCAGAGTGACTACCGAGACTATGTGCCATGGCACCAGATCGCCAGCGATGGCATCAGCTACACGCAGCCCCGATTTCGCTCGTCGAATCGGGAATGGACCAGCTTTGGAGCAACCCTCTCCCATGTCGAGGGCGCGTCCTCCAAAAACGTCTTCACCGCATTCACGCCGGGCGCAACTGCCGACTCGGCGATCAACTCACCCGACCTCCAACATTTCAAGGCCAGGATGAACAGCTCACAAAACACGCGCCAGGCATTGCAGGCTTATCTGAGCTTGGGCGGGGGCCAGAGGGAGGATCTCCTCGTAATGTTCCCCTACCCTGGAAGATACCTCCTGCAGAGCTTCTCGAACGCGTTTGACTCCAATGCGAACCCCAACCTCGGCAGCATGAACGACGACATGATGATCTCGGGTTGTCCTGAATGTGTGGCGCTAGCGGTGATTGAGGTGACCGGCGAAGAGGATGAGGATGCGCCAACGTACTTTACGCGTGGCCGAGATTTGACAGGTCACACGCTGTGCTCGGCTCGCCAGTCAATCGATCCTGACCGGAAGGTGGCGAGGCGGCGCGCAATAACCTTTGACGCAAATTTCAATCAAGAGGCTGCCCCGTTTCCACTCTACACGGTCGGGTCCTTTGGCACCGGCTCGGCTGAGCACGACGCGCCGCGGGCGTACGACGTCAATCACATCGACATGACGCTGTCTGGCGGCGACTGCGAGATATGGGTGGTCGCATCTCCGAACGCCTTTGCACATCCTTTCCACATGCACGTGAACCCGTTTCTCGTCCTCGGCGTCCAGAGTCAGTTCAACAACTTCACCTTCGGCTACTTTCAAACTGAATTCGGGAGAACCGACGGCGGTACAGGCCTTATGCTGCCAGATTATACAAACCCCTGGCTAATCGGGCAGGTCAACACCTGGCGCGACACAGTCATGATCCCCCCTTGGGGCCAGGCCACAATCAAGATTTGTTTCGACGCCGGGCTGCCGATGAAGGGAACTGAGTCACCGAACGTGGCCCCCATAGTCAGGTCCTTTCGGGGGAAATTTGTGTTTCACTGCCACTTCCTGGCACGCCATATAGACTGACTAAGCCCAACCCTACACCGAACCTTCACCCTAACCCTGACCCTGCTGGCTCAGGTGCATGAGGACACGGGACTCCTGAAGAATGTGTACCTCAAGGAGAAGAACTTCTCGAGACTCACGACTGAACGGCGGAGCTCGCCACAGTGCCATGCGCGATCTCCGCGGCCGTTCTTGCCTCCCCCTTCGTCGCCGTCGCCGCCACCCATCCAACCACAGCCGCGGTCGCCACCGTTTCCACCAAGGGCGCCGGGCCGATCAGAGTGGACATTCTTAATCGAAGTCACCGACGGATTACGTAGTGATCAAGCAAGCGACCAAAAGTGGACGCTCCTGTGTGGGGCAACTCTAACGAATTTCTCTGAGCTCCCCGACTACACAAGACGTGCCTGCTGCGGTGACCCATCAGAGTACTGCAGGGAAGGTGATCCGTTCTCGTCTACGTCTCCCCAATCAACGTGCCGAGGGATCACCGGCGAGACGTGTGCCTGCGTATTCAGCGAACCGCCGGACGGTGGTTCCTATATCAACGGCCGTGGTGCGAGCGGCCCTGGGCCATTCATACCATGCGTACTCCGTTTGTCCGACCGCACAAACCAGGATGGTTGGAACGGTGCGGAGTGGCGTGGGCTGGGCCACACCTTTACGCTTCGCGAAGGGGGTGTTGGCAACCCTTTGCAAGTTCCGTTCTCGATGGACGCAAATTACTACGACCCGCCCTGGCCTCCGTTTGCCTCACCGCAGCCTCCAGCCCCACCGCGGCCTCTGATGCCCACTCCGTCACCTCCACCGCCGCCATCACCGCCGTCGCCGCCGCCTCACCCATCCCTACCACCCATGGAAGCGTTCACCGTCCAGGTGAGTCCGGCAGAGGTCTACCCCGATGACGTGCGCTGGCATCTGCTCTGCGACGGAGGGGCCGCGGTTCCACTGCCGGGAAGTGCCGCGGCAGACACCTACGGAAACGCGGGTGCCGGGGTTCGTCTCGACGCGATCGCCTCGCCTGGCGCCAAGTGTAACCTCACCATGTTTGGCCTATCTGGCGAAGGCTGGCATGGAGCGGTGTGGCGCGGATTCGGCCAGTCTTTCAAGATGTCGTCTGGCTGGCGTCAGGACATGATGTTCGTCGTGCCGAAGAAGGGAGAAGGGGGCGGTGGCGCTGCCGGCGACCCGCACGTCCATTTCGCTCACGGCGGGCAGGCCGACTACCGCGGCGAGGACGACGCGATCGTTTGCTTCTTCTCCGCGCCCGGCATTGCGCTCAACATCAAGACGGAGGACGCCACCTTCACGCCGCCCTGGTGGCGCGACACGACCATCGACGGCTCCTACATCACCGAAGCGCACCTCGTCGCGCGCGTGGGCGGGGCCAAGCGCAAGTGGGCCAACATCTCCTTCATCGCCTCGCGGCTCACCGAGTACAACACCGGCCCCGATTTCATCGCCGGCTCCTGCGGCGGTCACGCCTTCTCCTTTGGACTCGGCACCACGCTCCGCCGTTGCGAGGAGCTCTCCATCAAGCCGCACTACTCGAGCGCCAAGTTTGAGGTGGCCACCATCACCACACCCGCCCACGCATTCATCGCCCACGTTGTCTCACGGCCGCACCTTGCACAAACGTTCCATTCAGGTGCGAGGCTGGACCTTCACCATCGGGGCCAACACCGTTGGGTGGCGCAAGTCCGGGCCAAAGCACCAGCTTGACATCAGCATCCACGCGGCCGGCGACGCGGCGGCCCGCTCCCTCCCGCACGGCGCGGGCCACGCTCCGCGACGCGACTGGAGGCAGGAGGGCCCGACCGGAGACCCTGCAAGGAACCTTCCGTTTAGGGATCGTCGGCCAGTCGTTCTCCGCGACAACACCGCGCGAGGGGAAGCGCGATGCGTACCCGCCCTTGGGCAGCCGCGCTGGCCGCTTCAAGACGAGCGCCATGGCCGAGGGCGCCATCGAGGGCTCCCCCCCCCCCCACCCCCCCCCACCCCCCCCCCTCCCAGCATTGACCAGCCCTCGTCGAAGTGGCTGTAGGAAGTGCGGCCATGTACAAGGTGGCAACGCCGTACGAGACGCGCTTCGCCTTCTCTCGATTCGAGGCCGAGGAAGAGGCGCACCCGAACCAGGAGCTGGCGAGGGTGGGCGCCGACGCGTCTGTCGCCGAGGAGGCGGAGGCGGCATGAGCGAGACCGGCAGGGGGGAGGCTGACGTCGATGGTGTGCCTGGCTGCTCGCGCGTGCATCAAGGGCCTTTAGCCCCTTTTCCAAGCCCTGCCCAAGGGTTTTTTTCTTTGCCAGTTTTTGCGCCCCCCTAAGGGAAAGGGGGGCCCCCCCCCCCCCCCCCCCCCCACACACACACACACACACACAGAGAGAGAGAGAGAGAGAGAGAGAGAGAGAGAGAGAGAGAGAGACGCGCCGCATGCATTGGCAGGCCAGCACCACCTCGATTCGCGCGATCGGCGCGTCTCGCCTGCCGGGACGGGGAGGGAGGGGGGCCGATTGTTAACGCTTTGCGTTTGCACACATATGTTGCCCCACAGAACAAGCCGCGCGCGCCGGCCGCCGCCGCGTCGGGGCCGCCCGGCCGCCGCGCCGCCGCCGGCCGCTTGTAGCCCGCGCGGGGAGGTCACAGCGGACCCCGTGGGGGGTACCTGGCAGGTACACACAGGTCACAGCTACAGAGACAGGTTTTATATGGTGTGCACAACGCATTCACCACACTCTCAGTCACTGTCTCTCCTCTCCTCTCACACACACCAGAAGAAGGAGACTCGTGATAAATTGGACATATTCTTTCACGGCATGTACAGACACAAGACGACAACACAAAGAGACCGATGACACGTTACGTATCGTGCCCCCGCTGCCCGCGCCAACGGCACTCTGCGCACACCGCACAGAAACCCACTCCCACGACAGCCGCACCAGCTAGTACGGAGGCGGCGGACGGAACGGAATGCCTCCACCTTGCCAGTTACCGCGGGGCCCACCTCGATGCTCGAAATATGCAGCTCAATGTGAGACATCGCGAGATCTCGGCAGTTTAGAGACCTAATGTTATTTTCTATCACACACACACACCATGCGAACCCGAAATATGTAGGAGAGTCGGATACGTAGACTACAGACAAGCTCAAGCCTCGGCGGCAGGAGCGACCGCTGCTCCACCGGAGCAGGACGATAACGTGGATGACGATGTGCCCCTGCGCATGATGAACTTGCGCAGGAGCGATTTGCCACTTCGCGCCGGGACGAGCGCGCTCGGCGGGGTCGACCCCGCCCCCGAGAGGTCGTCAAAGGGGACGGCGTCGTCGGCGAGGGAGATGTCGCAGAGGACGGAGCACAGCTCGATCGGCTCGCCCCTCGGGTGCATCATCTTCAGGGCGCGCACGCCGCCGCGCAGCGAGAGCAGCGGCACGGCGGCGTACGCCAGCAGCGTGTCCGAGCTCTGCGTCACCTCCTTAAGGCTCGGCAGGGTCGACGGCGCGAGCCACTCGGCCGGCACTCCGTTGGAGGCGCTGAGGGGCGCCGACGACGCGGACCACACGCACACACGCAGCACGGACAGCTCGGGCCGAGACGCGAGCACCTCGGCCTCCTCGGCCGCGGCAGCGCGCGGCGCGCCGCCCGCGCCCGCGCGCCCCTCCTCATCCGCGTGCGCGACACCCCACTCGGCGTTGAAGCCGTTGCCGAGCACGGTCGAGGAGCGCCACACGCACCGCTGCAGGCCCCTCAGCCTCGCGACGGCGTCGGTGTCGGCCGCCTCGCCCGGCCCCTCGGCGACGCTGCGGTTGACGGCGCAGCAGAAGCCCGGCCCGATGACCTGCATCGTGACGTACACGTCCGCAGCCTCCGTGGCGCCGGAGGGCGGCTCGCTCTTTGTGTCGAGCCGCGGCACGCTGCCGTGCCACGGAGGAGGCGGCTCGGCCACGCGCCCCTCGCCAACCTTTGGCACGTGGCGCGCCGAGAGCAGCGAGACGCGCAGCGCGAGGCCGGTGGAGCGCGGCGGAGCGAGCAGGTAGCCGCAGCCGCCATTCTGGCTGAAGAGCGCGGAGGCGTAGACGAAGGCGTCGTCGGGGGTCTGAAGGTTGAGGGCGACCATCTGGAAGCCGGAGGCGGACAGGTTGGCGAAGAGCTCCGGCTCGACCTGCCGCGAGGGGAGAGTGGAGGGTGAGGGGAGGGGTAGGGGGGGATGGAGCCGCAGCGGGGCCGGCGCACGCGTGGCGGCAACGCGGCGGCACTGCATGTGCGGCGGCGCTGCGTGTGCGGCGGCGGACGCGCACATTGTCGCTCGCGTAGCGCGAGTAGTGCGGGTAGACGCGGCAGAGGCGCGTCCGGTTGATCGAGACGATCTGCTCCGAGTCGAGCTCGCGCAGCAGCCGGGTCGCCTCGCGCTCGTTGATGGAGCACATCTGCGTCGGCTGCCACGTGTGGCCCGGCGCGGCGGCCAGCTTGCGCGAAGCGAGGTGGGTGATCTCGGACAGGTCGGGCGAGATGCGGTCGCGGTTGAGCCCTTTGAACTGCTCCGAGCGCCAGAGCTCGTCGTTGATGACCGCGGCCCACTCGGCCGCCGCCGCCTCGCTCGGGGCCTCAAACACGCAGTGCTTTGACCCGACCGCGTCTAGGAACCGCGGCGCGCTCGACCCACTCGCTGTGGCGCCGCCGGCCGGCTCGGCGTTCTCCTCGGCCCGCCCACTCGCCGCGTCGTCGAGGTAGACGACGCTGAGGTGGCGGCCGCTCGCCGTCGCCTGCGTCGTCACCTCGAGCAGCTCGGGCTGCTCCTCGACGGCGGCCGCGGCGGCGGCCACCGCGGCGGCCCGGCCCGACGGGAGCGGGCCGACGGCAGACACCTCCGACAGCAGCGCGTCGGCAGTCTCCGGCAGCCCGCCGCCCTTGGCGTCGCCCCGCGGGCCGGCCTCCTGCTGCTCGCCCTCGGGGGGGGCGGCCTGCCCGCCGGCAGCAAGCTCGGCCCGCCGCTCGCCGTGGAGCCACAGCTGCGGCCGGGCGCCGTCGCACGAGCGGAGCTGCACAAAGAAGCTCCGGCTCACCGGCGCAGCGTCGTCGAAGGAGACCATGCTCAGCCGGCCCGAGTGCACCGTGCTGCCGCTGCCGCCGCCGCCCGCCGCCGAGCGGCCCGCCGTGGAGAGGTAGGAGAGGGCCGCAGACGCCTTGCTGCACACGCGAGACGCGCCGCGCGGCCGCGGCCTCCGCGGCCGCCGCTTGCCGTCGCCCACCCCCGCTGCTGCGGCCCGGCGCTCGGGCGAGCCGTCGCGGTGGCGCGGCGAGTCGGCGGTCGTGCCCGAGTAGTTGGAGCACGCGGCCGTGCCGACGGAGTAGTCGGAGTAGACCGAGCTGGTGGACTCGCCTCGCTGCAGCGAGCCGATCACCGGCGCCGACTCGCCTCGCTGCAGCGGGCCCACGACCGAGTCCCTCGACTCGTCGCGCGGCAGCGAGGCGGCGACCGAGCCGGCCGACTCGCCTCGCTGCAGCGAGCCGGCGACGGAGGCCTTCGAGTCGGCGCGCTGCAGCGAGCCGGCAGCCGAGCCGGCGGCCGTCCCGTTGGAACTGCTCGACTCGCCGCGCTGCAGCGACCCGATGCTGAGCCCCGACTCGGACCGCTGCGGCGCAAAGACGTTTGAGAGCTGGCGCACCGACGCGTGCGCGTCGCACGCCGCGGGGGCGGTGTCCTCGGACGAGCCCTGCGCGGCGGGCCGCGGCGGCAGCGCGGCGGCGGCGGAGGAGCCCTTGAAGGCGGGGTGGGTGGTGGGGACGACCCGCCCCTTGAGGAGGATGCGGCCCATCAGCTCGAGGGGCGAGCGCAGCACGCCGTCGCCCGGCGGGAGCAGCCGCTCCCCGAGCGCCGCCTTGAAGAGCTCGGCGAGCTTGACTTG